GAGCGACCGATCAAATTAAGGTCTGCGTATACGTAGGCGCTTGGCAGGTCTTTTGTAGGCCTGCCAAAGGCACATATAACAGCTCGACATGCAGCGAACACGACGCGTGTATTTACGTAGCACACGCTACGCGTCGCTTCGGCAATTCACGCGTCGGATGCGAGAGCTGCGCGCAAGCATAATGAGTCTTGTTAAAGGTCCATCGAAGAGATCTTTTTACGCCATTTTTTTCTTCTCGATCGCTGCGTCGATGTAATGCAATGTGCTGCTACTGGTCGACGATTTATCTTACCTTTGGCACGTTTGCCGAGCAATAACAGCCCTCGCTTCGAGTATTAAATTCCAAATTCAAATTTGCGATTGCGCCGGACTTGCTTACATAGAGCATCGCCGTTTATTTTACTACTTAAAAGCTCAGGCTCGCGCGCGCGAGCATACATAAACACGAAGCTCTCTCTCTGTCTCCCACAGCCTGGCAGTGTATCCAATAGAACGTAATCCTCCTTTCGCCGTAAAGATAGTCAAGGCGTGCGCGGGATAGCTTATCTGTTCGCCTCTGGGTCAAGAATCAATGTAAGCCCGGGAATTGCGGAGGCAACGTCGCGCGCGCGAGCCGCTGCTCGCACACACACACCTTCGCGCACATATACAATTGAAAATTCGTATTTAAACGCTCACGGGCGCGTGCACGTATTAAAATATATTATATAGAGGCCACCGCCATGTATATAGCCGCGCGCTTTGTATATTTTGTTGGGCTCTCCTCGTCGTAATTATGCACACGCCGCGGAAGCTGCTTTCCTCGCGCGTGGCCGGATTATTCGAGGATTATACCAGGCTCAAGCGGCCGCCAAGATTATGTAACTCACTCGATCCTGGAGAGGAGTATCTGGCGCGTATCCGTGTATAGAGAGCGTGGCTCGGCTCGGCAGCACGCAGGGTAGTTTCCCCCATTGATTGATGGTCCGGGCAAAAAGCAGCCGAGCTTATACTACCCGTACACATATCCGACTCTCGAAATTCCGGCGCGGCGCGACGACGACCGACCCGCACACTGCACGTAGCGAGCACATATTAGTCGAGAGCCGAGGAGCAGCAGCGGCATGACTTACAATCATAACCCGAGAGATTATACGCACGAGCTCGCAATTGCAGCGCCATTTCGCCATCGAGGCGCTTTCTTGATTACGATTCCGATTCGATAGCCGGATAAGTCGTGTCGCATATTACACGCGTGCACTTGGAATACTCGATAAAGCCGCTTCTTCCTCTCTGCTGCTCCGCACCCGTATAACACGTAGTCTTTTCAACGGGACAACTGCGAGACGAGAAAAAAAGAATAACCAACGTATTCTTCCCCTCGAGCGAGAAAAAGAGACGCGAGGAAAAAAAATCAAAACTCGTCAAATACATATACACCATAGAGCGAAAATAAAAGTTTGCACTTATCAGAGCAGTGAGAGGTAATGCCCTCTCTTCTCCTACTCTCTATTCCTCTCCCTCCCTCTCTCTCTCTCTCTCTTATAAACTTATCCCATTTAGTATTTGTTTTATCCTGAAAAAATCTCTGCCACTAGTTTTCGATCTCAACTTTTCATCCGGCATGCGAAGATGCTCGAAGCTCGCGGCTGAAGAAAAAAGGGCGCGGTTTCGACGAAAATTACGGGCGCGAAAATACAATGCGTTGTTAGAGAAAATGGACTGCTGCTGCAGCTTGCGGCCGAGAGGCCACTGGCTCAAATTATAAAAGCCCAAGGAGGACAGGCAGCTTTTTCCTTTCTCGAGTGGAATAAGAGAGCGAAAAGAATAAGTAATATCAAATGCACAGACGGCACACGACGGTGGCGGCAGTGAAAACTGAAAACCTGTACACGCGGCGCAGTCTATAAGTCGTCGTCTCAGCGTCGGGCCGAGTCGATGCCGTGTACTCGGAAAGTAGGGCGTCGCCTCTCCATCCCTGACTGACCTTACACGCCCAAAGCAAAAGCACCAAAAGGTAGTCTCGTGACACTCAAAGATATATCTAAAAGACTCCGATGCTCAAGAGGTTTTCTCATTCTCGAAGGAATAAAATGCATCTCCGCCGGTACGTTTCGATTATTTTTTTTCACTTCAAAAAAAACGAGAGAGAAGAAAAAAGAAGAGAAACGGAGGGAGAGAGAGAAAAAGTGTGCGTGTCTGGTTGTGCCGCCATACAGACACATAGAATCCTTAGAAGTCGCGCAAAACAATGTGCAACTGGAGCGAGCCTGTATACATGTATAACGCACACCGAGGCGCACGATAGCGTAATTTATTTAAATTTCACGCTGCTGCTACTGCCGCTGCTGCTGCTGTTGCGTCGAGAGGATTGCGCTTAGAAAAGCGGATGTTCTTACAAAGTTATTGTTTCGCCCTGCCTTTTTTCTCTACGCTCGCAGCCCTACTGCATTTATACTGATGACGCGAGGAGAGGATCATTTTTTTCGTGAGGATTGAAAAATAGCATTTCTTTCATTTGGGATTTTGTGCTGTTTTGCCTCAAAAGTACTGAATTATGACGCGGTGAATGGACGCGACTCGCAAAAATGTGCAAAAGTCAAAGGGGAAACCCATCAAAAAATACATCCGCATCGTGATAATTGAAATTTACCTTTGAAAGTTCGGCCCGAATTTTGTGAGAGCTTCGATGCATTGATAATTAAACTTTAATAATTACTCATTATTCACTGAAACCGTATTTCTCGAGAAATTTTTCATTAAATGAGAACAGCTAATATTCTCTCGACTCGCACTTGTTAAAGAATTACAGTGATAATTCCGGAGGATTAAGCAGAGCAAGGCTAAAATTTCTCAAAGTTTTTTATAATCAGGAAAGTTATTGCCCGCCGTGCGCTCTATGGAATGTTACGTAATGATATTTTACGCGACAAGGGCATAAATAAAACAAAAAAATTATGCTCGCTAATTTCATCAATTACTTTTGCGTCGATAGGTCAACTTCTGTGCTTGTCTCTCGCGTCGCTGCATATTCATTCGAGCGTAGCGCGACGTATTCTATAATTTTAGAACCAAGATCTTAGTTCGACTTGCAAATTGTTCTGACGAATGATTTGCATAATCCCCGCAGGAACCTCTGGCGTCCTACTCGGCTATATACAATCATAAACAATTTCCAAAGACCATATTTAACTTTTTTTTTTTGCAAGATATGTTTTGTCGCTCGTGAAAGAGCTTCATCTTGCTTAATTGCGTATAAATTGTAGACCTGCCTTTTAAAGGATTCTTCGGTTAACTTGGTTTCCTTTTTTTTTTTTGAGTCGGCAAAATGTTTCGACAAAGGAGGCGAATTGAATGTAGATTCTAGTCACGTTATATTTCATTGCGATTGAAAGAGCTGTATATGCATTATTATATTTATTATACATAGGTTAAAGTAAAATTCAGTCCATTGAACTTAGCAGTGTATATAGCGCGCAAAATCGATTATCGATTTCGCGGTCTCGCGAGCTCGATGATATGTCAATACTATAGTCGGCGTCGAATTACATATCTATATTACGGAACTCCAGCGGATCGGATGAAAATTTCTTTCTCGTTAAAATTCTCATTGTAATGCAGCGCAGTGGATGCGCAAAATAAAATGGATAAAAAAAGACAAAAGTTAACGGGTGGGGAGCCACAGCTCGTGTAACGTTGCAAACGCGCTCGGCATAATGCGCTCGCGAAACTGGCGCAAGGATATTTTCTTGTGCTCGCTTTTGGTTTTAAGTCGCGTATTAACGAGCTTTCACTCGTAAGCTTTTTTCTCTCTCGTCGCCGAGTGAAAGTGGAAGCGACGAATTAACGCCTCGCCTAGTTTTACACGCGCGCTTACTTATTCATGTATTTATTTATATGAAAAGAAAACTACGCGCCGGGCGAGGCTTCCATTATTCATGAATCGGAACGCTTACCGGCGTAGAATATGTGCAAGACAGAGAGAGGCAGGGAGGGAGGCAAGAGAGAGGAAGCTTTCTTCGATAAAAAAGTCGAATATCCGCCGTTTTTTTCTCTCTCTCCTCTTTCTCATAGTGGCCTGGTGTACGCGGCGCGCGTGTCCCTTTCCTAAACTGCCGCAACTCCCCCGTTCCGGGAGTCAAGCTCATATGTCTTTCCGTGCGGCTTCTCCAACCAATAAACCCTCTTTTCTAGTACAAGCTTTCTACTACTGGCCTCTCTCTCTCTCTCTCTCTCTCGCTCGACCATATCCCAGCTCGGCCGGATATATAACGGTTTGAGATAAAATAATAGGGATTAACCCTTTCACTTTGTTATACATGAAGCCGCTTACAGTCTGCCTCCGCCCCCCACACATCGCTAAGAAATTGCCTTAATATAGCTAGCTAAATATTAGTTTTTCCTTCTTCTTTTTTTTTTCTTTTTTTTTTTTTTTTAACGTACACGCGCGTTTCGTTGAAATTCCGACAGGCATGAAGAATGGAAGTTTTATTCTACCATTGAAATCGCATGAAATTTTTACCAGTGTCGCGCAAGTCTGCTTTCCGCAAAGAATAATAGCCCGTTTCTGGATTCTGCGTTACTTCTGCTCCCATCGATTGTGTTTTCCCAAATCACGCGTTTGGAATTCGAGCGGATCGTAATACAATCCCGCGGAGAGCTGTAATTTTTCAAGCATGCATTGTGAAACGTTTTTTTCTTAATTTCCGCCCGATGAAAGTAATTGTGTTAGTCATTTTTATGAATTATGCGGCTTCTACCATTGTTTGAGAAGGAAAAAACTTTTCAAACATCGCTGTCAGCCAAAAGTTTTTCCTTTTTTTTTTTTTGCAGCGACCTACTTTTGGCGTTATAATTTTCCATCGTTTCCCCAAAATAATCATATGTTTAACACGCTGCTATAGTTATAATAAGTATACATATATCTTGCCTGACATTGATTTATGTAGAAAAGAGTATATATTTCTAAAATAGATCAAATTCAAACTGGTTAATTCGAATTTTGTCGATGATTTTTGCAGAGGCGAAAGCGGAGATTAGCGGACCGAGCGAGAAGTTCGTGCGGCCGGGCAGCACCCTGCAGCTGCACTGCCTCGTGAAAAAGTCGACGGAGCAGCCGTCGTTCCTGTTCTGGTATCACAACAAGCGCATGATCAACTACGACGTGGACCAGGGGGTGAACGTGAGCACCGACCTGGTGGCCCGGGAGTCGTGGCTCGAGGTGCCGCGCGCCGCCGGCCGCCACTCCGGCAATTACACCTGCGAGGCGAGCAACGCCACGCCCGGACGCGTCATGGTGCACATCTTCAACGGTGACAATCCCGCGGCCATGCAGCACAGCCTCGCCAGCTCGCCCTCGGTCATCGCCTGCTCGGCCCTCCTCACCCTCGGCACGGCCCTCAAGCTCGCCCTGCAGCACATCTACGACTACGCGGGCAGCTAAGGATGTTGTCGGCGAACTTCCACCTGGGTTCAACTCTGGCTGTCCGACTGAAACTTCGTACTTATACTCCGACGTGCGCATCCCGTGTAACAATTGTAAATATTGCGCCGGCTGTTTTACCGACCGTCGGTATATGATCTTGTACCATACATCGCATCTGAGAGAGGAGTGAATTATGACATTTTTCGATGCATACTTTACGCAGTCTTCCGATAGTTTTAACGATTTAACATGCCGAGCATATTGATCTCTTCCCCAATCGATTTGGTAGTCCTTTCACAGGAATTTTTTATTGCCCCTTTGCGTGAGTGCAGGCCAACGCCGAAGCAAAAATAAACTGCAAGTATTTTCCAACGCATTGTATTGCGATCGTTACCGAACCTTTTCAGATACCTCCGTTTTATCGTTGCCTATACAACAGTATCGTTATTGTTTAGTAAAATACTGGATGAAAATCTCGGAAAACTTGTTGCAAAAGATCTCATTTTTACCTCATCTTCGAATTTCGATATCCCTATTAGTAAACGAATCCACCGTGAAAATAAACTCTTATACAGTTTTTAGTCGATAAAATTAACTAAGTTAGTACGTGGTGAAAATTTTGTTCTATATAGAACACAATAAAACGTAGTTTGCCGTATTTATGAAAACGATGTTATGATTCCGTGCATGTAGGATTTTTAGCATAACGCATTTTAGATATCAACAAAGCACACCTCAACGAAAGATGATGAAAATATAGAGAGAGGTATATCTTTTGTTCATTATCGCATTGATTTTTGCGGGCATGTGTTGCAAGCGAGCAACTATATAAAAGCGGCAGGCATCTCCGATATTATTGGAAAATTCTTAAAAGATAAAATTCGTATTTAATCAAGTTTGATGGACCGACGCACCGCAAGTTCATTCCGCAAGTTAAAATCCCGCACGTTCGAATCAGCTTTAAATTCTGCCAGTTCTTAAAAATCGATTCACGATATCTCTTCTCGTTTTCAAAATCTCTTTATCGTTGATCAGGGAGCGAATTATCAAGCAAAAACTTTCGTCCTCTGCAAATACGTATTTTGACTATTTCTGATTTTTTCGATCTCTCTTAACTTTATTCCTTATCTCTTTAGCGAGGCTCAGAGCTCGAGAGCGTGACTTTTTCAAATATAGACGAGTTATTGATTCTCAGGGCTAGTTGCTTGGGGTTGGTTATAAAGTCCTTCAGTACCGCCTGTTCTCTCTTTCTCTTCCTCTTCCTCTCATGGTCACTACACTTTGTGGTCGCCCCCCAAATAACTGGCCTTCTTGAACTTTTGAGGCTCTTCTATTTGAGAAAGAGAGCGAGAGGCTTTTCCACCGGCTTTGTGTCTCTTTCTTCCTTTCTCAATAGATACTCGTTGTCTGGAATTTTCCAGTCAAGTGGAAAATTTTTCACGAGTAGCCACATATATATAATAGATGTTCCCGACCCTTAAAACGAGTATATTTTGTGAGTGCGAGTGTGCTATATACATATATTCTGCTAGATGGTAATAATAACTCGGTTCCCAATAGTGTACGCTTAGCATTATCAATTGAATAAGAAAGACAAAGGGAATAAAATTATCCGCGTGTTAAGTTGAAAAGAGAAAAAGAGGTTGGTTAAGCATAGAGCTCAGCTCAGCGGGCTATATCCTAATGTCAAAGTCTAGAAAGCTCTTTGCCTTTCTCTCTCTCACTTTTCCGTCTTCTTGACCATTCCCTTTTGCACGTTCGCGTGTAATTAACGCTATACAGGGCGCACGTGGAAGTCACACATACTATACGTGCAGCAGCAGCGGCGGCCGCGACGAGCACACGTGAAATGGCCAAGTTTGTTTGTACGCTGGCCAACGACTCGACGGAACGACGACCGAGGAATTAATCACGATCAAAGTGAAATAAAGTATCGCTTCGAAAGGCTTCCGACGTCGAGTTTGATTTAATTTCTAGCTGCGTGACGGAATCGCCCTTTTCATCTTTTGCGCGCTGGCGAATTAAATGAGAAAAAAGCCGCAGAAATTGCACGCACTTATCACGCGGTGGCGGCGGCAGCGAGAGGCACAGGGCCTCGCATTTTCATAATTCAAAAAGTCTCGAGGACCAAAAGCTCCCTCTTGTCTCGTGTACGCGTAATGTATGCGCGCCGTGTATATAACGTAGCCCCGTGGAGTTTTCTTGCGCTGCACACACGCCGCGCGCCCTTTTTACGCGTCTGCACGTTATCACACTCTCGCACCGACTTGCCTCTATGTATACACGCGCAGGCTTTTTGTTTAGCGAACTGTGCAAACCTTTATAAAGCTTCTTGTCGCTCACGCTTCGTCGAAATTGACAGGCAAGCGCATATGCACGCACGGCTCAGGTAGAGAATTTCACGCGGCGGCTGACTCCCGAGTGCTGCTGTGGTTTTCCACGCGCGCACACATATACAGCCTGGCATAATTATTGTTCATTTGCAGCAACGACCTTACAACGACTCGTACAAATAGCCATTTTGCGATCGTAAACTCTTCTCGACTAGCTGCCGTAGTTTTTTTCGAGCTTTCGAACCATGTAACGGAGAGATTATTGCGTGTAATAATTGTCACCGTTGAAAAATTGCTCTACTCGCACGAATGTCATCGTTGCAACTCGTGCACTTACAAATCAGCGTCGGGTTTAATCTCTATTGATTCCTACATCGGGAACAAAGTTGCCGAAGATACGATGATCGAAAAGTCATTCAACTTTTTTGTCATTGATTACGTGTATGTGTGCTGAAAGAAACAAAGCGAAGGCCTCTCGAACAACGAAGTATAGAAAAAAGTACTCTTGGGACTCTGGTAAAAAAAAAGAGTGTAAACAAAGAAACGCTGAGTGACGACAAAAACGAAAAGAAGCTAGAAAAAACGTCGGCAACAGCAACAAAATGCGACAAAGAGATACATTGGACTTGATGATTGACTCCCGGAAAATTTGTGCCTGCAAACGTTGCAGATCGGGCTCTTTTTTGTTGCTCGCTCCATTATATACGCAAGAGACAAACGATCCCATGAGACTGCACTTCCTTTAGGCCCCGAGTATACCTCTTTATTTCCACCACCCTCCTCTTTTTTTAAGTAATTTGATACACACGTACGCGGCAAAAAAGCGGTTGGACGCAAAGTTCACTTTTTTCCCGGCCCTCTCTCCTCTAAAATGGCCCATGAAAAAGAGGGTGCTTTGATGCATTTTTGGCGTCGCAACTAAATAAACTCGTAATAGCGCGCGCGCAGATAGCAGCCAAAAGATAGCCTGCATGTGCGCGCGTTGTGATAATTTTTCATGCTCCCGGCCACGCTCGAGTCCTCTAATGTATAAAACATCAATTAATTTTCGTACGAATGTGGGACTGTTATGAATAAATCACCAGCAGAATGCGAGAATATTAAAAAAAATACATCCGTTGGTAGGATGACGAGTTTCGACCGATATCACACGTGTAAAAAGCGATTATAGATCTAGACTGATAAAACGAAGTGCACCGGTGTAATTATATTTTCATATCTAAGCTCGATAATTTTTTAAATGTGCATGAATTTGTTGTATTATTATATTTATGAACCTGTTTACATTGTACAATCACCGAAATCTTTGTGAATTACATTAAGCTATCATTTTAATTGAGAATAAAATGGAGCTATCGAATGAATTATCGAATCAATTGCTTTCTCATCCATTCCACGTCGTCTATGGAATCAAAGCGAATAACAAAAAAATATTAAAAAAATTAATGTGTAGTAAACTGGAGCATAAACTGTATATAAAAGTACGCCAGCTTTTTCAAATACATACATAATGTACGTACGTGGATACATGTGCAGACGTTTTTCATAATTTCCGAGTAAATTAATTTTTTAAAAGCCACCAACCAAAATACGTACTAAAGATTATACTCAAAGTATATTTATAAATATATTCTTTAGATAGGTAGATGAAAAAAAAATTTTCACAGCTTCATGTAATTTTTTTGTAAATATATCTATCGATCGCGCTTGTTGTGTATTATTCATGAAAAAGAAAGGAGCAGCAAAGTTTAATTAAATTGACTAACGTATTATAAAAAAAGTAAAAAAATAACACGAGTTTTAACAAGCACTGCATTTTTTGTAAAATTACCACGACGTAAACATATATGAACGTATATATGTATGTAAGTATGTATGCAAGGGGAGGTACATGTTTAATAATACGTGGATAATTAAATATTAAAGCTATTTGTTATGTACTAAACATATAGGCATAACGAGAACGAAATACGAAGGTAATTTTAAGTACGAAATATCACGAGATTAAATTATTATTCATAAAAGTTACATTATAGGGAGGAAAAAAATTGCGAGATACGTGTGCGTATATATGCGTATAAGTGTGTGCATGCGCATGAGCGATTGCAAGTAATCGATAGATGAATAAACTTAAAAGTTTGAGCATTAAATAATAGCGGAGAGACAAATGGATGTGTCGATAAGTGTGAAATACTAAATGCCGATTGTTTGCTTTTGTACACGATTAATTTAATGAACAATGTATAAAACGTGTTTGTACAGACAGTTTGTTTGAGTAAATATTTATCGTTAAATTTTCCTACTTTCCGACGTGCTATTGGTTACGTGCTATACAGTTAAAATTATTAAATAAGGAAGGTAATGGTTGGGTGGAGAAATTGTCCTTTCATGGAAGTCGTTATATCGAATCGTTGATATAGATTTTTTATTAACTGTACAATAAATGAAAATTTTGTTACATTATGAATAACTGTTTGGGTATTATATGGTAAGCGAGAGAGCGATGCGACTTGAAAATAAATATAAAAATTCTCGATAGTACACGATCATTGGTCAATTTATTTACACACGCATGTATACCCTTTGCCTCACTCGGTATCGGCTAAAATATTTTCTCGCTAAGTACTCTCTGCCTATCTATATTTCACTATTTAGCGAGTTTATGGCGAGCTCGTAAAGCGGCACACTCGAGCGCCACCGGACCAGCCAGTAGCGACTTTACATAAGATATATACATACTTTGGCTAAAGCATTGATTTCATCCTAAACACAAATGAATATTTAAGCTCTATCGCTCTCGGACGTGTGCGTGTAGCGCGTTCAAAGCTGCAGCCGATATTCTCGTACGCAGTGGCGCACTGTACTATGGGAGCTGCTTGCATAAAAGAGAGGCGTTGCAGAGCAGGTAGCTGGGCCAGCTGCGTTATATTCTCCGGCAATATCCTCGGCCATGCACACGCAGAGGCATAAACGGTCGATTTGCAAGGCTCGTTTAATAGGCATTACCTGCAACAGCTCGGGCGCGGGTGCGGGCGCGAGGGCGCATAAGCTCCTGACGCGGCGCGTTGCGGGCGCGATTATTGACGCGCTTATTATGTGCGCTCGCCGCTCAGTATAAGCTTCATCGCAAATGCTCTCCACGCGCGCACACATAGTACATACATGCGCCGACGAGCTAATGAACATCCGATGATGTGCCTCTAACGTCTAACGCATTTGCTGCTTCGTTCAGCCTTCCGACCCCGTACGAGCGAATCAATCTTATGTAAGTATATACCTATATTGCACGGCACCATATGCGTGGGCGCCTGGGAGGATACTTGCATCCAGCAGCAGCACACACGTACGATTGCATCTCCAACTGCGTGCGCAGCTGTTGTGCTTGGCATTTTACATTGATTAAGAACCACAGGTACTTGTTGAACGGCCAGGCCCGGCCCGGCTATTGATAATTCAAGTGGACTAGATGTATACAATGGAGTTTGTACGCAGCTAAATGCTCGAGCTCGACGATTATTGCATCGTGCGGCGCCGCCCAAGGCCTAATTTCAATTCCATCTATATATACGTTGGCTATAGCAATTTTTTTTTCGAGAGAGTGAGGAAAAAACTTCATATCAAACGAATAACTTTTATTTCTCCGAAAAAATATCGAGTGTCAGGTACGCGCGTCGAGTACCTTCCTTTTTTTCGTTCCATATCAGCCGACGCGCTCCGTACAGCTCGATAAACTCGCCGTGGCAAAAGATGGACTGGTGCAGCGGCAGCAGCGTCGTCGCGCGACTCGTCAACGCGTCATCGACCAAACGACCGAACGAACGAATTTCGCGTCGAGGCCCATTACGAGTGCCCGTGAGCTACGAGCCACAAAGTCAATTGGATTGAATTTCGCTTAGAGGTACGGCCTAACGAGACCCTTCAGCTGACCGTACCAGGTGCGCAAAGCACCTATCACGGAGACGAGAGCGATGCCGGCCGTCGCCGCGATCAGGTAGTCTTTCATGTGGTCGGCCTTGTTGGTGACCATCCAGTGCTTCTTGTAGCCGTAGCACTGGGCGGCGATGCCCACGGCGAAGCACGCCAAGCCCAGAGTGTTGTGGGTGAATTTGCTCAGCAGCGGCTTGACCAGCTTGCGCAGCCTGAAGGCGAACAGCGAGAAGACGCCCGAGAGGAAGATGAAGGCCGCGGCGCCGACCGAGACGATGCCCAGCTTCGCGTGGACCGACCTGAAGTGACGCTGCTTGTCCAGGTAGATGACGATGACCCCGGCGACGAAGCACACAGCCCCCAGCACCTGCAGGATCCAGTGGAGGTGGCTGTTGGTGCGACGCGACAGGAACCTGCTCCAGAGATTCGTGCCTCCCAGCGAGACGATGGCCTGCGACATGAACAGGACGTACTGCAATAAAAAAAAAGATTAAAATGACTGCCTGGGCGGCGGCTCCAAAGCGCGGCTAATGCATTCGCAAATGCACTCGGAGTTAATTTCGCTGTAAGTGCAGCCGGGCATATGTATCGATAGCTCTAGCGCGATAGTCGATTACGCGCTCCTCCGCGATTGTCCTAATGTGTACACACGAGCGCACGATCGCAGTAATTCCTGGCCAATTAGAGGCCCCCCCGCACGTATATCGTTTCAATTCCGATATTTCAGTCGACGCGATCAGCTCGTTAATGCAGCAGCAGCAGCAAACGCGCCCATTTGCCCGATGAAAAATTCACCTCAAAGACGCGTTGAAAGTATATATATCATTTATATATACGTGACACATACGACGCGACGTGCGCACTCCGAGACTCGAATCCGAAGCAATCACTGTCTCCCGGAATTTAGATTTGAAAACGCATATACGTCTATTATGTCGGGGCTTTGTGCAGCTAAATATGCTGACACGCGCGCGTTCGAGAACGTGACCCAGAAAATTTTCTCACCTCCTCTAAATATTTTTTGCCCATGTAAAAATATACTACTTGCGGAGCTGCTGCTGCTATATAAAAACGTTTACAATCAACTCTCGAGTGCGCCTCGTAGAAACTCGATAGACCGCGCCGCGTCTAGGTTTTTTTTTCTTTTAATTTTCTCCTCATTATTATTGCAATTAAAAATCGTACACGTGAAGAGGTACTCGATCAAAATCGTCCGCATTGCTCATAATTACGGGCGCCGTTTGCTGCCCGGTTCATCTTTTATTAAAAGCATCTCTCCCCGGAGAAATAATGGCTCGTGTTACCTTTTTTTTCTAACGAACTAGCCGACGTTGAGGGGGTAGCGAAGCCGAGCCGAAAATAAAATTTTCAATCCTGTTTTCGGCAACTTTTATCGAATATTTCTCTAAAAGGCTCAGTGGCGACTTCAAGTACATCAAAATTAAAGTCACTACAGAGCGCCCTTTAGAGAAATATTCGATAAAAATTGCCGAAAACAGGGTCGAAAATTTTATTTTTGAACCGGCTTTCCCCGTCCCCCTCGAGTCCAAATTAAAACTACTCCGTACGTATTTCTCCCTCGGAATACTACTGCTGCGTGCGCTGCCTAACACAAAATCCGAAAATCCAGGAGAGCAAAACTTGAAGCTACCCATACACTACTGCTGGAGCTTAACAAAATTCATGAAATTCCAAATAGCTCGTCAAACATCCAAAGATCCACACTATAGCGCGCGCGAGCGAATAAGATAGCGAGGACACGCCTCGTACAGTTGTTCGGCTATATCTACAGTCAGACGTAAACTTTTACCTATACAGGCGCTCGCGAGTGCGAGTCAGCCTCGAGGGTCAAATATTTAGACGAACAAAACCATGAATATATGAACGAATGTGTATGTGTGTGTGTGTGTGTCTCGGAACTTACCCCAAGAGTGCAGAGCAGAACGTGGTAATCTATAGGTTTAGTCAGATGAGAAGTCAAGTAAACCATGTAACCAGTCACGAGCAGCACCAGTACGTGATTGATACCATTGAGTAGCATCAGGAGCAATTGCCAACAACTCCAGTCCTTATTCTCTTCCTCTTGTTGACCCTCCGAAGAAGACGCTGCTGGCTTGGTCGCCGCTACGCTTTCCAAGTCATGTTTGCTCGCGCCCGTCATGCTCGATGATTTATCGCCAAACACCTGAACGTAGTTGGACACAAAAAAATACCTTATATCTCTTTTGCCCTAGATCAAAGGGATTTTCGATGCGAACGCACTGGTCGTATGTTTATATCTGTAGTTAAATTAGTAGCTTACTTTTTGTACGAAAAGTATCGATGGTCAATCATGCGTTCGGAACGCGGAAAGAAAAAAAATTGCAAAACTTTTTCTCCGACCGGTACACGACGAGACTTTACTGTAATTAATATAAAAAAAGCTTCTCAAAGGGCACACACACACATACACACAGCGACAGCGGGCAAACTGATTTGGTAATCGAAAAGCGTGCGACACCGGTGCAGGTGAGTATATATACTGACGAGCGCTGGGCAGGGCGCCTTACGATTTTCTATCGATCGACCTTGCGCGCGCTCGCTCGCCTCGCTTCGTCGGGAAAATGATAACTAACGAATAAAAGTCTAGGATCCGTCTCTTGATATCCATAACAGCATTTCGATGTAAAGCGAAGAGCTTCCACATTTGTCCAGCCGGCGAGTAATGGCACTTGATCTATCGAGCATGTATCTTCTCACGTACCGACTCGTATCAGATTAGACGTGATTGCTTTATCGCGTTGCCCAGATAAAGCATTATTATATTATAACACATTTTACCACTCGAATAATCGCGTGTACACACTCGGGCGATTTTTCCGACGAGGCACGTATACGCGCTTAGACGTTTTTTCGAGCAAGAAAAACGTGTTGTGGTTGACTTTTTCTCACCCTGTATCCCCCTTCGCGCTATATATAAGCTTTATCGCGCACGAGTGTGTGACATCTGTGTGCATGTGCACACGCGTACGTCTGTGTGTGGCTTAGTGGGATTGCGCAATTTATGTGTATGTGCGCGAGTATGTAGCTTTACAAGTCTGCGGAGAAGATAAAGAGCATCAGTTGAGATTCTCCGCTGCTTCTGTTGCTGACATAGCGCGCGCGAGCGTATGTCTAATATTGGGCCATTGAAAAATAATTCACCCTCGTGCCACTGGCGTCTTCAATTCGCACGCTTTTATTGCATCGCCAAGATTGTCAGCTTTTTTCACTCTCCGATCGAGATATATGAGACAAGATTCGCTATTGAGAGTTTCGACAACAACAAAAAATCACGTGTTCCTAAAAGTCCCATCGTTCAGAAGATTAATTTCGATGCAATGAATTACTTATTATCTCGTATGAAGGCTTCTTTCCAGCGCTTTATAGCTAATGGCTTTTTACAAATGACCGTTTAGTGATCGAAGAAAAAACTCACGTACAGCATAATCTTTATGATACTCTTTGTTATCGTTATACTAGGGAGATATCAAGTTTACTACTCTCATGTCACTAACCGATTTCGCTACTAAAATAAGAAATAATTATATACAAATTATTCAAACATCGAAATCACTCAAACTCAATTGATGAATGACTAGTCAATAATTTGGGATCCATTCCAATGGATAAAAAGTATATAATTCCAAGTACTTAAAAATTGTATATTTACTAGATGCAGGTATTTTCATCCCCCATCGGTAAAGTAGTTTCCGCTGTGAACATTTCCGCATGTTGATACATTTTTACCCATTAAAAGGTCGAAGCAAAATAAAAAAGTGAAAACAGTTCTCAGATATCTTTAACACAAGTAAAATTAATAAATGTATTATTGTTCCAAATAGATGATACAATCCTCTGAGTAAGAAATGTTCAGTTTGCACTGAAAAAATCTTAGGCGTGAATCCAGAAAAAGAGGACAGCTGAACCAAAAAAATATATTTTGCTAACACAGCAAAATTATTTTGCAAAATTTAGCAGACAAATATCGCCCAATGATTTTGTTGTGGCAACAAAATATCTTTTTCTGATGCAGCTATCCACTTTTTATGGATACGCACCTAAGATTTTTTTCAGTGATATATGTAAGAATGTCAAATTTTTAATTTTTAAAAACTTTTCAGCTTTTTACGTGAAAATATTTTGAATTTTTCATTATTATATGTGCATGGCTGTCTATAGGCATTGCTGTGCTTATTAAACCTACTACAAAAATACTGTAAAATGTTTATCAAACATAAAGAATTTTGAATTACTATTTAAAATAATGAATGAGTTAATGAAAAATAGGCAACAGAATTAAATTGAGTTACGTCTCTCTGTGTTTCCCCGACGCATCAACTGGCTTATTTGTTAAACGCTTCTGAATCTGGTCATCAAAGTCCAAAATTGGTTTTTAAGCACTGCGCATGTACAAGATGTAACATTTAAATTTTAAATTCAATAATGGCATAAGCTATTAAATAAGTATTATTATTGTATTATAGTATCTCATATTATGTGTAAATTTGACTATTAACAAAGATATTGAACCACAATGAATTGAATTAAATGTATGTCAGCAATGACAGCCTGGAGCCTTAAAATAAGCAAAGATATAAAAAAAAACAAAGACGTTATGTCTTATTTTTTATTTGATATCTCGACGCCGTAACATAAAATTAGGTTGCATAGAAAATACTGCTTTACCGAAAAATCTTTTTCTTATAATAAAAAAATGATGAATTTCTTTATTTTATCCCTAATACACGAATAAAGAGTCTGTGAATGGACTTGAGCAATGTCAGCTAATGGAAAATAGTCGAAGAAAAACACAACTAAAAGAAAAGTAGTCATTATTTGGAAATCAGCGAAAACAAGTTATTTTAAATTTTCAATAGTAATTTATATACGTTGTATATTTGTGTTTTCACTCGTTCATAGAAATAAAGAAATCAAGCAATAAATCTTGCAATTTAACGAAGCTAAAACAACAAAAGCACTCAGAGAAAAAGATGTATAATAATTGGCGAATTGCGACGCATGCGTCTAGTTTTGTTTTATTTTTGCTGTGGCTGCGGCAATTGCGATTGGCTCTTGGGTCCGAGCTCGTGTATTTTATATTTGACAATAATCATGGAGAGCACTCGATCGTAAATGTAGACATTGTTTGATGATAATAAAAGTTTCTACAGCAGTGAGATGTCAAGCTGAATAGTAAACGCGAGCCTGTATACTGTTTATCTGGATGAGAATGATATGCCGGCTCCGTATGTTGTAGCTGATATATTTAGCTGAGTAATAAGTAAACGATACTGCTCGCAAAGCAGCAGCTATTTTCCAGATGAACGATTGCAAATTTCTCGATTGAGTCGCGTAAACAAGCGTGTAGCTGTCACGATGCTGTGTGCCAGTGGCAAGTGTCAGTTAGTAGTAGTAGTAGTAGTATAGAGAGCAGTCGGAGGCTTAACCTGAGCGTGTGTAGTTGGCGTTGTGTACACTTTCCATATACTCGGGAGTATGTCATATCGAGCAGAAGCCAAGCGTACACGGCAGCAGCAGCCATACGCGCTGTCTCTGAGAGACGTCGGCCCGTGAGAGAATCGTGCAATCGTACGTCGTGTGTTTTTGTGTGTCTGCGCGGCGTTCAGTAGCAGCCGCCGATCGAATTCGACGAAAAAAAAGCAACTTCGAGCGGTTGTCATTGTCGAGAGCTTGGCTCGGACGCCTTCTTGCTGCTGCACGTTGCTTGCTCGCTAAGCATATTCTCGCCAACGCGCGACTTCTTGCTCGTAATCCTGCCTATTGGTCCACTGCTCAATCGACGCTAATGCGCTATTGCCGTTCTCTACACGCTTCGTAAAATCATTAATTCCATAGTTATCAGGTAGGTAGAGTTTACATATAAACACAACACACATTTGTCCACGGGTTAGCTTTATAGTCTGTTTATTATATACTGATTGGAGCCTACAGGTGTGTGCGTCTGCGTATTTTTACCGTAGTGCCCCGGCCATCGCTTGTATGCAGTACACTATACGATAGTCCGAGCCTTAGCGCATTTGATTTTTCACCAAGGCAACAGTTTTCCTCGTCTCCCATTTATATCTCTTCTGATCCAGCTATACTGTCTATATAATCCCTGTCGATTCGTTGCCGAAGGTTTTGGCTCATTTTTTTTTTTTTTTTTTTTTTTTTGACAACCGACTACTGTGTCTTTAGTTTAATCGCTGCGCATTGCTGCTGTAAATGCTAATTACTCTTCAACTAATAAATATCGGTAACATAAGCATTCAAGCACGTTTAAATGAGGCTTTTTTAAATGAAAAATACTGATTCAAGTCCTATCGAGCTTGCATCTTACCTGCTTCAGATGAATGATTTAATACCGTGAAAATTACCATGTTAAACCGATTGAATGATTTATTTGCGGACATTCATACTACCAAAAAAGTCGAGTTATGTTTTCTTGGTCAATACAGTCTCAAACTAAAAGAAAAGTGCAACATAGTGCTACATACGTAATCGCTCATTTATATTTTCTATTAGCGATGCAATTACAGCAATAATTCGATTGGTCGTATTACACGCACTTCTCATTCCATGAGTGTGCTGCTTTCGAATTGTCTAATAATTTTTCGAAAGAAATTCGAAATTACGAAATCCTTAATCGTGTGTGCTACTAAGCCTCGCTTATGTTTACATTTTGGTGATTCCAGACAGTCAAAAAGTACTCATCAATAATTCATATCAAAATATCAACTCGTCAGCGGAAAAAGTTTACTCCAAATAAGTTTTTAAACATTTATAAAAAAACTAAAATAGCTCTCAAAATCCAAGTTTTTCTAGAGCTAGTTTTTAAACGTATTGCTTTGGTTTTTTTACGAAAATTTTGATACAATTCTTCTCGGTTTGTCGAGGTCCTTCATTTGATACTCCATTGTAAGAGATTATGTATTTATTTTTTTATTAAATATATCTATCACAGTAGACAAGTTTTTCTTTTAGCATTAAACTTTACGGCTTTTTAATAAAAAACTTATTATTCAAATGTTTCATTTGAATATTTTCATTTACTTTCACGATGTAAAATGAATCTCAACTCTTGATGACGACAAAAATCACTAGTATTTTTTTGTATCAAAAAAATTTTTTTTTAAACAGATGTGATAATTTTCCGGAACTCTGCTAAAATTTTATTTTTAATAAATTCAGGTGCTTTTCAAAGATAGCTTCTGAGTCAAATGTGTTCAAATTACATCCAAAAAATATCTTAAATGTGTGTAATTTAAAGAATTTTACATTAAAAAAATAATAGTAATGATGATAAAAATGTTGAAGATTTTGTGACTTTCTTACTGAAAATAGACTCCCTTTTACAAAGCAATGATGTCACTAACGTTTACATCAATTTCACAAACCTTCAAAATACGTATTTCAATTGAAAAAATGTTCCGAAATGAGCGAGAAATTGAATTTTTTAAAAATAATTTCTACATTTTTTGCCAATACTTTTCTATAAAGTTAATGGAGAGTTCAAGAATAATAAAACGAAACTTTCACTTGCTTTTTTCCGAAGTCTTCTATTACAATATGAAAGACATGTTTAAAAAATGTAAAAACACGTTCAATTTGTATCCTTTTTAAAGCTATCAAAAAATAAAAAGCAGAAAAGTAAACTTCATTTTAACTATCAGTGAAAAAAATCTACAATTTACTAAAATATACAAAACATCACATCTTGAAAGCATGTCAAATTTTATCCGCATCTTGGACAATTGGTTTTATCGTTGAAATAATATGAAGTCCAAATATCATAAGTATGCCTGCATAAATTGAATGTTAAATTGATATAAATACTTTTTTAAACTCTAAACTTCAAGTCACTGTCGCTGCTAAGGCTTTAAACTTCAAGTTGGATGCGTACAGTATAGTGCGTAACTGCTGTAGTGCACTGTGCAGCGGGCGCCTGTATGGGTGCGCGCAAGTGTAACATGGATATGCATTCGCACAGTCAGTTCAGCAGCAGACAAAACTGAGAATACACTGCACTTATTCGCGTATACAAGGAGCTGTGTCAGTGTCTCTGTGTGTTTGTGTGTGTGCCTCATTTTATCAAGTCCAGTTTGGTTCGCTCTCCGTGGTAATATTCAGCCAACACAGTAAAAGCAGCGTCCCTTATGCTAATCTAGCCCGCCTTTCCCTCTGATTTTCCTAGCCTCGTCATGTTTTCAACATTTTCTCTTTTTTCAACTCGAGAAATTTTGCCTCGATTTCTGATTCTATAATAAAAACGCATCCTTTCTTTGTTCACTGCGCTTATTAACGCGCCGACTGACATTTTATTGCTTCTTTGCTATAACTTATCAATTTCTATTTATTTTCACAAAATTTCATCAATGAAAAGTTAAAAGAGTTTGAAGTATCATCTATCATAAAGGCATTTACCTTAAAACCTGGTAAATACTATATTATTGCATTAAGAACATAAGTCAGAGTCAATACTTCTTTATTGCATATTCTTGTCTTAATTGATAAAAAAACATTATTAATAACTTAAAAATAAAGTGTAATATTGCTCATAAAATTACTTATAAACTTTTGTTAAAAAATGTTAAAAAAGCTTTGCAGAATTTAACTTGATATTCAATCAGTTTTGCATAACTTTAAAGTTTTGAGTAATGGTTCTTTCATTTAATTTATTTTTAATGTTTTTATTTATAAAAAAGGTATCTGTGAATGTTCAATTTATCATTGATATACTTGCAGCTGTATTTAAAATATATCTTGCACCCATGTTTCAATTTTGTTTTAGTTTTAATTAAAATTAAAATTAAAAATATTCATCATGATTACCAAAAGATAGTAATTATCTACCCAGTATAACAAATTTACTGAGAATTAGAAAATAAATTTTTAGCAAGTTTATTTTTCATGCGTAATAGTTTCTTATTAATACAAATTTTTCTGTAGATAGTATATAATTCAATTTACAGTATCTCATTTAAAACAACTTTAACTTTTCAGGAAGCAAAAATCAAAATGGTTTCCACTCGCCAATCAAGTAACAGCGGCACCAACCCTGATGCTTCAAGTTTTGTGGAGCTTCGCAGAAATTATGATGCAGAACCATCCACCTCTAATCGAAAGCAGCAACAAGCTGTTTTAGCATCTAATAGTATTGCAACAGTGTCTTCAAGTGAAAATACTCCCTATTTTAATTTGTTGAATTTACCATTGGAATTAGTACAAAAAATATTGGGTTATTTAGATTATAATACAATTGCTCATTTACGTCCTGTAAGTACCAAATATGATACAGATAAATAATGTCTATAATCAAAGTTCTTACGCTTAAAATATATTTAAGGTATGTCATCAAATGGACAAAATTTGTGGCTCTCTACTGAACTCCACATTTCAGCGACTTCAAACACAAATGCTTAACAGATTTCAAGCCATTAAAGCTCAAATGCCCAGGAGGGAATCAGCAAGGCGTAATCATCCATTGGCATGTGAGAGTGACATTATAGAAACTCTGCATATGAGATTAACTCTTTTACAGATGAGTTTTGGAAAACACATTGAACGCAAACACTGTTGTTTTTTCCCTGGAGAAGTACGAACATAATTTTTACTTTACATTTTTCATGATACTCATTTCAATTACAAAAGTGTTGAAGGCACTAAAATAAATATTACTTTTCAGATATTGGATGAAGTTTATAATATATTACATTACATTAAAGTTACACCAAAATTAGCTCGACCATACAAAGTGACGGATGAACTATTTGACTTGAGTACGATGGCTATGGAATATTTCAAAGATTGTATCGAGCCTACACTACCTGAAATTCCTTATTTTGGGGCAGAATTTTTGGATTTAGCTGGAACCTTTACATGTGAGTACTGATTAAATAATAATAAAAATAATAATTATAATAAATAATAAGTAATAATCAAAGACTAAATAATAGCAAAGCCCTACTAATTCTTACTTTAAATGTTTTCCTCTTGTGAACAGCTCCTCTTAGTGTATCGGATGGCAAAGGTCGAAGTAGTGGAGGAGAAAATTCGCCAGCTCGTTCTGGTAACGATGAACCAGGAACCAGCATGGATTCAAGTGTTGCTGCTCCAGCGTCGCCACCTCAATCTAACATGGTTTTGCGAAAGCGCATTCGTAAAATCAAACAAGGTATGAAACGGTATAACAGTCAGCTAAGCCTCATGCGCAGGGATCTGAAAAATTGCAAGTCTAAAATTTCGGAGCAACAGAAGCAAATAGTAGAGTACGCCACTCGACTTGATGATAATGATAAAAAGAACGAAGAAACGTCGAGAAAATTCAGCACTTTACTCCAGGTATTTACTAAGGTACATTTTATTATTTGAGTAGTGTCCAATTGTTCTTGAGTCTTTTTCATCATAATTAAAATGAATTATGAACGAAATTATGAACGAAATATATTTGTTCATTCGAGAAATCATTATTTTAATTAATTGAAAATAGCAACCATCAATAACAGGTATGATTTATTAACTTTTGAAAATTCTTATATATTATAAAAATAACGTCTTTTACAGGAATTAAATAAATGCAAAACAGAACTCCAATATTGGCGATCAAAATCTCCTGCTATACCAGTTTGTTTCGGATGCGGTCAATCGATACCTTTACCCACAGAAGATCTACAAGCTTTGGCAAATCAAGGTATTCTCTCGAACGTCGAAGCATCAGCCAACGAAAGCTTAGATTTCATTCCCATTCCTGATATGGCAGCGCAAAGTCCAACCGAAAGAGATATGAATTCGATGCTTAACGTGCAGCCATTACTTGCAGCTCCGACGCAACTTGCATCGCTACAATTATTGCAATGCACACATACAAGCTGCAGTAATAGTAACCCGAGCGTTTCTACAGTAGAACCTATGGCGCCACCGATCTCTTTACCTATGGTTTCTTCAAAAAAAAGGTCAAGTACTTCCTGCCTCGAAGAAGATGTTACAAAAAAACCGCGTCGTGCCCCCAAGTCTCGCCAAGCTAAGCGCTCCAAAATTTAAATTCAATTCACTATCTAACGTGTATCTCTTTGAATTTTTCTTTTCTTGTTTCTTATTCGGGGGTATATCCGATTTTTTTTTTTAATACAATACACAAATAATAATATGGATATGTGGAACCCTTATTCAAATTTAGTTCACGCTTTTTGTGTTGGATTATCTGAGGAAAAAATACTAATTGTGAGGAGTTCTTTCGAGTATCTTGATGCAATCACAAATTATTCACATCCTTAAGTACAATTATAACTTGTATATTAACGTTAACACATCAACTCAAAAACTAATTTATGTATGTGTTTTCATATAATTTCTTTACTCTATTTGAATAATTTTAAGTCTTTATTGTATTTAATCAACAGACTTATATGCATTCTTTTGTCTCTCACTATGATTGAATTTATATGTTTGGGTCTTGTCGCCTTTTTTCTACGGGCGTAAACGGATGACTCTAAAAAGAGTACAAAGTTTTCTTCCCGTTGTCTATTGTACATTACTTGTAAAATGAAATATCTTTCATTTTTAATTTCGTGGCTAACATTACTACGAGTGTAAAATTAATTCTACCTGAGTTTCAGATCATTTTTTAAGAAATATTCTTATGTTAGTATACCAAAAGTTGTAGTTTTAGTTGTAAAAAAGAATAATTTTCTAAAAATTTTGATTCGTCAACTAGGTCAATTTGAAAAAAGTTTTCAATTTAATCAATTATTTGAGTAATTTTTTGATCAGCTCAAAAAATTCGAATTATATGTTTAATTAGGCGAGTTTTATAAAATTAATTTGTCCAAAATTTCCTATAATCTTAAAGTTACATGTATGTTATTAATAATAATTTGTAATAAATTCGTATTTTCATCGTTGCAGTTATTTTACTGCTATCTTTAAATGATATATTAATTGTGAGATCAGAAAACAAACGACTCATTATTTATTATTTTTGTTTGGTCATGCTTGTACTTCAATGCTTGTGTTCATTGCGTTATGATTTTATACTCTGATATGCTATAATTTTCAAATATAATTTAATTCTATTGATGGCAATATGGTGATTTACTGAATGAAATAATCTTTAATATATTTGAAATAATGTATGTACGCTTTGAGTGTACCTTGTCCGAACATTTTATATAAAGATGCAATATTGTTGTATTTATTTTAATCGTATAGTTGCAAATATTTATAGATGTATTTTATTCATTCTCACCAATGTGTGTATTGGCTTAAATTTATCGATTTTAGTTCAAGTTGCTGCGGCTTTTTTCAAATTTAATTTAATAGTAATAAGTATTTAGTCATTTAAGATTTGATCTTATTTATTAATTTGATTAGTAAAAAATGATAATGCTTATGCATTAATATTTATAATAAAATAATTTGTATATCAGAAACTTCTTTGTAATACGACGTCGTTTAAAATCAAACTTACGATTATTTTAATTCTACAATTCGTGTAATAATTAAGTACTTTTTGTAAACAAGTGATTTGAGATTTTTTATTTCAAGTTTTGATGATTTTGAAAAACTAGAGTGTTTAAAGTGATTAACCTTTATGTTTTTGTAATAACAATTTTTATTAAATTAAAATTTTGTAACCAAAAAATCTTGATATACATATTTACGTCTATAGAAAAATTAGATTTATCTAGGCTTCAGTTTCTTCTAAACTGTATAAGAGATATATTTTTTTTATTGTAAATTTAACATCAATATTTTTTTGTATATAATTGCAAAGTCTTGAAAAAGAAAGTTAATCTGAAACTCTTGTAAAACTGAAATAAACTAAGTTTTTAATGATCGGTTATTGTGAATATTCGGTCCATGTGCTGCACATGTAGTCAGTTGAGGAATAAGTGTTAAAATTATGAACAGAAACAAATAACTTATTTTAAAATCTTCAAAAGGAAAAAGTGGTGATATCGTTTGACTACAATTTTTAGTCAAATCATAGATCATCCGTTTCGACCTTGGAAAAAAATATTAAAAACAATTGCTTGCTATTTAACGTGTATGTACTTTGTATGCTAAAATATAATTGATGATTGTGATTGTGAGTGTGATTCAGAGTGTGTAAGTTAACAACTAAAAATGAATAATTTATTGAATAATTAGATATTATTGTCAAATAAATGAACTTGTTGAAATATAATCTACAGTTAGAAATGTAAATATTGTTTTATTGTATTTTTATTTCCTAAAATATTTTTTAGACAAATATTCCTTTAAAAGAATTTGAAGAAAGCTTTACTTAAGAGTGATAAAATTTACCTACTGCAATCAAACGTGTTGTTCACATTATAAAATTAGAATTCCCATATCATCGCCACATTCGTTTTTTTGTGGTAAGAATAATTTGAGACATAAATTTGCATTAGGTCGGAGAAATAATTAATTTTTTTTATTCAAACTGAGTTTAATTATTTAATTCCTAATTAATCGACTAACGAACCTATCTTTAAAAGCTACAAACATTTATCTGATTTTACTTGCGTTCTTAGGCTCGTAAAAGTAGCAAATCGCTCGAAGTAGAATGATTAAATTAATTACATAAAAAAAAGGGTAATCAATTTTCAGTGTGTTGATTGACAATCAACGCCTCAACTCTCTTCGTCGTGTTCATCGGACATCAAGGTAGTCACGTTCGTAAGTTACAACTGTGTTTTTATACTTGATTGTCGTCGCTCGTAATGCAGGGTACAAGATTCGAGACGCAATTTTAACCTTGGGCTTGTTCAATAGATTCAAGGAGGACATTGAAACGCGAGTGAAACGATCGGGACAAGAGTAGATTTTCTCCGAGAAATCCATGGAAAAATCGTCAGTCTAAAGTCCACGGAAGGAAAAGAAGCGCGCCGTTTACGAATTTTGCGCGTTAATAGTAAAATGTAAACATTTGCTAATGTTAGACAATGTGTCATCTCATATGATCCGCACATGTGTCTGCACATCGTTAGTTTGGAGAGAATAAACTTACGTAAATAATTACAGTTACTATAGATTGCGTTGTGTTCAACTTGAAAGACAAGGTAATGTTAACTAAAGTGGTTAGATTTGTTAATTCATTCACAACTGGATACATTTTTTCTTTTATCTATTGAATTCCTTTAAAAATTGAGACAGCTATATTAAAATTTTGCTAGTACAAAAAGTTTAAAAGGCATAGAATCTATATAGCCTGATACAGAAAAAACTGATTTAATCAATATTAAAGTATGACGAAATGTAAGGTACCGTTGGACGAATGTGTAACAATGATTCCTTTTTTGCAAAATAAATTATATCGACGAAAATACATAATAAAATTATATAAGAACTACCAATTAGAAAGATAATGAAGAAAGATGATTATTTAGATCGTATTAATAATTAAGATTATGTGTTTCGTTCAATTTGATATTCTAATTAGCTCTATATTATTAAATGCAATTTGACATAGGATTAATTTGCTACTTGCAATAATTTAATAAGAGATGCCCTCTCAAATCACTTGGGAAGACAGAGAAAATTAAAGAATCAGAAATTGGATTTGTGCATGACACCGGGTACATAATATTCAATTAATCAATCAGACCGATGGATATTTATCAAAAGGTATTAATTTATGATGTAGGTACTGAAATGAAGATTAATGCTCGGGATAAGTAAACGACTAGAAAGTGTCGATAAAGCAGCCCTTAAAAATTTTCCAAGCGCAGCGATAAGATTTTTAAACGAGTCGTTTTACTCGTGTCGGCCTGTGCCGGTGAAAGTGCAATTCCTTCGCGGAGAGGGTTCGCATGCGTGGTCGGCATCTATCACCGAGTCTATTCTCATAGAACGACGCGGATAATTTGAGGAATCGTTCTCGATAATACGTAGGGTAAGTGACTGTACTGATCGCAGCCCGACTGCCTCTCGAGATGATGAGTCGTAAAGCAGTGAAAGAAAAAGAGAAGGAGGAAAGAATCGAGGAAGAACGAGTCGGCAGGCAGTAGCCCGAGGCCTTTGTCGTACGCGTAAAATATTTGATTGATATTTGAAGTCGGAGTTGGCAGTGGCGACGTTTCGTCACAAAGCGAATTGATATTCGCAAGGTGGCTCGGTAAACGTGGCTATCGGCCGAACACGACCCAACGAATTGATATATAAGAGTCGGCGGCGGCGGCGTCCGCAAAGAAGGAAGAGAGCAGCTTTCGCCGCTCACTGCTTATATACTTGGAAGGAAGTGGCGACTGATACGAGTAGACAATATTCACGATCGACTCTCGAGGCTCTCGATCCGTGTACAGTACTGTCTCTAATCAATCAAGCCGCGCACACGCCAATGCGTCGTTTCGTGCGTGGCATCGAGTTTCGCAGCTGCTCAGCACTGCACTGCAGGCAGGAGTAATCCCTCAGGCCGAGGGACCGAGCGCGCGAATACCGATCAAATACGAAGAGCTGGCTGCGCTGCGCTGTTAAAGTCTGGCGCCAAGCACAGGCTCGCGCGTCTCTTACGAACGAGCAGCTGCGCTATATAATACAACATCGGCGGTGCACGCGAAGCCAGTGCCGCGCGTTGCATCGGCGATTCTCTCTCGTGATCTCGTTGGCTGCGGCAGCAGCAGCGTCGCTGAGGCGCGCAGAGATCGCACAGCGATCGCCAGTCTACCCCCGAGTAAGTACCTGACTCGGGAGAAGGCGAACTTTGCCGAGCGAGCGCAGCCTACTACCTACGACGCCTATGCTTATTATTATATAGCATAGGTAGCCGCCATCCAAACCTGTACCACAGCACAGCAGTCGTTCTCGCTCGAGGCGGCAAGTGGTGAGCGGCCAGTGTCTATTGTGCGCGCGTGTAAGTGTGCTAGTGCTCTGGCCAGTAGTGCCCATTGTACTACAAGCGGCGATCGCCACTCGAGTGAATGGACTCTCGGCTCCGCGGACTCGCGCTTCGGACTACTCTCTATCTACCTTGGCCAGCTTCTGTGCCGTAGCCGAACGGAGAACCGCCACTCGGAGCAGTCCTCGTTTTTCCTTCCGCTGCTGTTCCTCGCTGAGCAGCCCCGATCGCTCGTCATGTATCCGATGAGCGCCGATCTCAAGGCTTCTTCCTTGGCTTTTGTCTTGCTCTTCGCAACCACTATTCTTCACGGTATGTACTCGACTCTTTTTTTGCCTCTCTCGCTCTCTCTCCCTTTATCTCTTTCTTTATGTATGCTACTCCTGCCAGTGTAAAAACTACATTCCCACAAATCATTCCAACCGATTCAAGAAAAGGCTACCGATGTCAAATGTCGAGGCACAAATGCTTACGGCACATTAAATTTGGACTTTTGTCCGTGTTATTAAGAAAAAAAAAAATCACTAGCAGTGTGCATCGCTTTGAATCGGTAAACGCGTTACAAGACTCGTTTCGTCTCGTCGGTGAAATATTTAATCGGTAAGCGTTGCGATCGGTAATTCGTCGGTTGGTTCGGTAACTTTCAGCGGCTCGTAATGGCAGACGCGGAACGTTTATTCGACAAACCAAGATGGGCTTTGACGTGTCGAAATCGCGCGAAACGTGCGAGAAGCCCTTGTGCAGTTACGTACGTCGAGACGTGACGCAGACTCGCAGGACGTAACTCTTCTGCGTAGGCTAGTCGAGGCGCGATATAAACGCTCGATCGCGTAATCGGGCGCCAATTTTCGTTACTCTTGAAAGTACTCTCGTGAAAGTTTTCTCGCTCGTATACGCGTCCAAATGCGCTATCTATCTCGCGTGACAAGCAAAGAAATAGTTTATACCGATTATGCTTGTGCCCCGATCGATCGATCGTTTATCATTTAACCAAGCTCACAAATAAACTCGAGTTGTTTCTGCAATATTCGCGATGCTTTGGTTTAACAATTAACGAGCGACAAAAATATCCATGACATGTGGGTCTAAAAATCGCAGCGAGTGGCGCAGCGAAAAAACCAACTCTATTGCCGCTAATATGCGTCAAGAAGTTTGTCACGACAGCCACGCGCTGCGATTTGATATTTCGGCGAATCCATTGCAAAACTCGAGCATATTACAATCCTTCACTTTATCGTTTGTAACCGCGCCAAGTGAAATGTTTTACACGCGACGCACGCCACAGTGTCCTTACTCAAACTTACTCATTTAACGAATTCTAAAATAATCACGCATAGCTGCTCCGCTCAACTCATACAGACTGAAATGCAGCTAGACTGTGGTAGTCAAAACAAAACTCCGGCATCGTGACGAACAGCGTCGTCGATGCATCGCGCAAATTTCTCAGAAAAGTAATCGAAAAAGTTAACGAAGCAATAATCTGGTCGAACGGCCGTCGACATTGTTTCTTTTTTTTTTTTTTTCGTGGTCATCGCGGCGTCATTGCCATCCCCCTTTGAAGCATTAAATGCTCGACTTTGGGCTCGGCGCGCTTACATGGAACGTAATTGAATGGAAACAAAGCAACGCGACTGGATATGGTTACGTTAGCTCACGCATGTCTAGCGCGAGCTCGCTTCTCTCAAACAGGTCCACGGCGGCCACCGTCCCTGACTTTCTCGAGGCAGTTTCCAACGAAATAGTACAACCCAAACAACGCGTTTCATACATCAATCAAAGCTGATTCGAGATAAAAATCATTTCGACTGTTATTGCTGCACCTTACAATAGGCTTTCATACTCGCAATTTGTCGAGGGTCGAAAAATATTTACTCAAATTTTTCAAAGCACATAGCTCTATTTTAATATGAAAATTAAGTGCGACTCGAATTGGCTCGAGTAATGGAAAAAATAATCAAACGAGTGTTTTTATATAAACACATGTATAGCATTGCTACCATGCTCAACACCTCTGATCTAGTGGCATTAGTTTATTCAACAAACTCGGCCTGCAACGGAAATACATGTTTCCGCTATTCGCACGTGCATTTTATTTGTTTTGTCGTTGAGAAATCACGCCGATTTTTGCAACGCGTTAGAAAATAATTTAGCTCTTTTAATTGTTCGCGCGAGTACACATGAATTTATATTTAATATCCACCAATTATAAAGAGTCGGGCATTGTGTTGATGGGTCGCGGAATCGCCTGTTTCACTTCTGACAATCTGATACAGTCTGGCACAGCATGCTGAATTGTCGTGTATACCGCGCGAACGTACAAGCCTAATATGCAACAGCACTTGACGATCCTTATCTGGCACTGTAATGCTGTATTCAAATAGATTCATATTTTTTTCTCTTTTTTTTTTGCTACATCCAATCGCACTTGAAAGAAATTTTTTATTTTTATATTTCAAGTTTGTAGTGCCAATCGGATAATTCAATACTCTTTCAAAAAACTATAGTTTAAGCGATCACGTGGATTTATTGTTTATTCAAGCAATACTTGATTTCGCTCATTCAACAGAGATTTTTCCTCTCAGAAACAGATTATAAAACAAGTTTAAACTATTATTTTCTCGATTTCGCGTTAGTGAAGAGAAAAGTGTATGAGATTATAAATGCTGAATGGAAGGTGTGTTGAATGTAATGCGTAGTTCAAGATATCTTTGTCTGAATTTTAATTAAGTACATACAGTGACTTTAAAAAGTTTAATAAATATGTTTAATGAAGGGAAAAATGAAAATTTTTACAATCTTGAAGTGATACCGATAAAGAGTAAAAGTAAACGTTTTCTTGAGATGTTCAAGAGATATTTGTCTTAAAAGCTGTATCGACATTTTCAGTTATACCCCTCGTTACCACCTTGATGTGCATGATTCCTTAAAAACTTCACTTTTTTCTGCTATCACTGATCATCGCAAAGAAGCTCATGATTCGATGGCAAGTCCGAACACATTCATGAAACACAATGACCGGGTAAATTCGTTAAAATATAATCATCTTCAAGAGTCTGTGGGAAGCTTGCGTAGTGGCTTCTCGATTGATCGGGTATGACGTTTTCATGATTGGTTCGTGTTACTGCGCGCAGTTGTCAGTCAATGAACGGAGTAAATAATGAAAAAAAAGGAAGGAGCTATTCGGAGTCAAAATGAACGCACGGAAAAACTTGAAAGAGTCACGCAAAGCGAGTTGATTTAAATCTGCCACATGATCGTCAAGTTCATCGAAGAAATATTAAGAAAAAAAAGGCACCATGCAATACGCTGAGGAACTTATAGGTCAATCAACTCGTAGTACACGCCATGAAAACTCACTCTCCCGAGTCAACAGAATTATTTCAATAATTGAGTCACGAATGAGTCAGGAAACAATGTGCCATAAATTTATTGGCTTGACACAATTTAAAAGAAAAAAAATTATGAAGGATTAATAGTAACTATAATGTCATGCGTCTACTTTTTAAAGCTATGCTACGGATCCTCTTGAAATAATAACCTCAGAACTATTCTAAATATTGTTTACTTGAAATATCAGACATTAGCTTCTAAAATATATGTCATTCTCTGCAGCTTTGATTGACGCTATTTTGACCGATTTCGAATATATACTTTTGAGTTTTATTTCATTTTTGGATTATATCGTTGACATTTTACTTTGAAAAGAACAGTAGTTATGAAATTTTTTAAATTACTACTTGATGTCGTTATTAGAACACTTTAAAACAAAAATTGCGTTTTCACTTCTTCATATTATCGACTGTAGTAATGTACTACCACAGTACTCTAGTATCGCACATAAAATAAAGATATCTTTGGAATTTTTCCAACTTTGCTTAATTCGCTAATTTTTCTGAATGTAAAAAAACATACAAAGCTCTCTCATTATAACAGATTCCATTGTTAAAAAATTGTTATACATTGAATGTACGTATAAGAAATCCGATAGAACCCATTACGTCGATATGATCGAATAAGACATTTTTTTTATTCTGATATGATAATTAACATTAACCGATGAAAAATAAATTAAATACGTTTTATAAAAGTGAAAATGCTTTTCCACTGATTTGAAATGTTTTTTTAAACTCTATACAAGCTTACGAAGCTAAACGTATCGATATCACGTTATCTTTTTTCCAATCTCAGTAACATGCTATGTAAACGTAATGATAGAGCGCAAGAGCAGCAACGTTAGAAACAAAGTATTTTTCGCCGAGGAATTTTCAAAGATTATGCAAAGTTTGAGCGAAGGAGAAAATATTATTGTGAAAGTTTCGTTGTACTAGCAGAAATGAGATAGTTTTATTGGACTGGAAATGAATAGCCATAGGAACATGACTTTGTAAAACTGAAATATACGCGCTGAATAGAGGATCGAGTGGATGAGGCTGGTTCGAGGAAAAACACTCGATACAAAAATGCTGGATGTAGCGCCTCGAAAAGTAAGGCGATCCTTAACTTTTGCGGAAGAAATGTGTTTTCGCGTTAACGACGAATGATCGTTGAGCGTTGCGATGCTCGTCGTGTCGCGCGAATATCGCTGCACCGATACAAGACCGATCGCCGGATTCAAGAGAATACGCAACGCGTATTAGTCGCATATCAAAAAAGATGATCGCATCCGCTTGGCTCGGCGAACGCACGTCCGGCTATACGGCTCCTCGCCGGCAACGAGAAGACGATTGAGATCGGTATACGTTGCGCGAAAAAACGCAAAAAAAGGCTAAGGCTGTTTGTGGATAATTCATCGTCACTCGTACGTGATATGGTTAAACGCCTAGCTAGCCGTATTGGCAAGCGAGCGCTAAGAGAAAAAAGTGCCACGTTTACGCAAAGCGAGGCGCGAGCTCGGTAAGTAGTCCTTGACGAGCTCACGCGCGCGAGATGCAGCAAATAAGTCATATGTAGAGCAGCGCGCCAGAATTTCAATTTATTAACGAAAATTCGGTCACGCGCGCGCCTCGAGCAGTTTCGCCATTTTCCAATCTACCTCATCCATCGTACGGGGGGTCGCGCCGAAACAACAACATAGCCAATCTTGATCGTTCATTGCTTTCTTCCATCACAATGTATTTCATGTAAAAAAAAAAAAAAAAACAATAGGTTGAACGAGCCTATGCGGCTCCGAACAATGGGCAATGCAAATTGCCACGAGCTGCGCGTGTAGAACATTGCGATATCACAGCGGCCAGTCTAATGAAATTTAGACGACAAGGTTGAGAACGAGACCTTGTTGATTGCGCTCGAATCCGCGAGACTCTCGGGTCAAGTTCAAGTTCGCTTGGCGATTCGCTAAAATTAGTCGGCTGATTTGCTAATTCCAAATTCTACAGAACACGCGTGTGCGCTCACCGAGCGCGCCGAGTCAACATAGCCGACGCGCTATTTTGGCTCCGATCGTTGCCTTCGCTATTTCAACTGAGTCATTGAGTACCCAACGCTTCAATGACTTGGCCTATACGTTTTAAATAAAATATTTCATAATAATATTTATAAAAATTGACCCTCGATAATAATAGCGCCACTGATTTATCAACAACAGTCAGCTCTTATTTTGACTTCCTCGTCAATCATCTAAGACATAATCGGCGAATAGTCAATACAAATTTCATTTTTTCCAAAATCCTTACATTATTTCAGTTATTTTTATTCTTTCGTGAATCAAGGTTGTAACTATTTTATATTGAGACAATAATATTTTGAACAAAGATAATGCATCTTTTATTTAAATAACACGCGCAGAGTCTATTTAATACAAAACTGTAAGGAAAAGTTCCAAGGATTTTTTACACATTTCGCCGTTTTGATTTCCCCTTTGTTCATGCATATGAGTTGGATAAAAACAAACAGATGGTTAATGACTACAAATTCATTAATGAGAATCATTTGAAAACCAAACTTCTGCTGATCTTGACTAAACATGTGTTCAAAAATATGCTTATACATAGGGTAAAATAGCAAGTTTTCAGACACTTGCATTTATGCAAGTACTATGTTGACGCTCCCCACGAGGGGTAACTTTAAATTAAAACCACCATAGTTCAATTTAAATTAAATCAAACCATTTAAATTAAAACATAAACGTATTACTCTTAGTGGGGAACGTTTATGTACACTTGATCACTTGAAAAGTCAAAATGTTCTCAAAAAGTGATTTTACAAAAAAGTCACTCAGAAAGCTCCCGATTACTAGAAATTTTTTTATAACATGCTTAAAAAGTTTGTAGAAAAAAACATTAGTATCAGCAATTGTAACGTCTTGACCTTTATTATAGATATTTAAAAAGAATGATTAACATTTGAAATTAAAAATAAGATTTTAATTTCTTTTATGGCTAATTTTTTTTTATTTACAGCTTTAGTCGATACTGTTGAGGCCAAAGGGCATATCAATTTTGGATATGATGGTGCGCATGGTAAGTTACATTCAATTGTTAATTTTGCTAGCGTAATTTTTTCTTGCACCTATAATTGAATTACATTTTGAAATACGCTACAGGTCCGCAACACTGGGCAGAAGACTATGATACTTGTTTCGGTAAACATCAATCCCCCATCAACATAGAAGAGCACATTGTGCGGGATGTGAGCTTCCCACCGTTGCTCTTTGCCGGACTTGATTTATCACGGAGATTTTATTTGTTGAATAACGGTCACACCGGTAAGTAACAATGAAAATTTGAGAGTTTCCTATACGTGCGTGTCATTGCTGGTGAATGTAATTGCTTTTAAGGTAATATGATCTTGAGATACCCATAAACAATTTGGGGATTTGAATTGAATAAACTCACTTTTGTACGAATCCGAAAAATAATTTACTCGCGTTGACTACCTTGTCTCGGCCGTAGTCACATTAATTCCCAACTGTTCAAGAAGAGTCCTATATTAAAAATCGTAGCTGCAGAAGTCCATCGGACAAATACTGATCGCAGAGGTACATTAGTATTACGTTTTGTCCAGCGCTTCTGCATGCTCCAAACAGCAGCGAGCAGGCCTACATGTCGGGTGGGCCACTCAAGGGCATCTACGCGTTCGAGCAGCTTCACTTCCACTGGGGCGAAAACGACCTGGAAGGCTCCGAGGATCTCATCAATAATCACTCGTTCGCAATGGAACTGCACGCCGTCTTCTACAAAGACCAATACGGCTCGATCAACGAAGCAGTCAAGTACCCCGATAGATTGGCCGTACTTGCCTTTTTCTTTGAGGTAATCACTATAACGAAACTTATTGTTTTATTTATTGATACGATAAGTGTCGGTTTCATAAAAATAAAGTGTTATAAAGCTAATAAATGTATAAAAATGCATGAAATAAATCTGTACCCCGTAAAAAAAATAATAAGTTCTCAGAAACAATTTTTGAAGTATTTTTGTATAAATTAGAAAAAAATCAATTGCTTAACCCCTTTAGGCAGAAGCAAGTGATCGGCTGAATCCGACCTTCCATCCGATCGTTGCGGCCCTACCGAAAATTGAAAAGGTTGGTTCGGAGATCCAGCTGCATCAGAGCATGCGATTGGAGCACTTACTCAATCCAGCTGGTCCATTAAGCGACAGAATGCAGAATTATTTTACTTATAATGGTTCGTTGACTACGCCTCCTTGCTCCGAAGTTGTCGTTTGGATCGATTTCAAACATCCTCTCTACCTTTCACATTCGCAGGTAGCCATAATTATATATCATGTTGAATAAATAATTCCAACCACGAGATGCGTGCAATATCTAAATAATTATTCTTCTTTATCGCAGCTGGAATCATTCCGCAGCATAAGTAGTTCCGAAGGACAAAAGCTGACGCATAACTTCCGACCAGTGCAGCCCTTGTCGGATCGGCTTGTGTTGCACAACTTGCCAGGCGGTCCCTGGAACTCGCGTTTCGATCAGCCTTACTGGTCGGCGGCCGGACCGACTACGACTGCTACCACAAGCTTTGCCCTGCTCTTCCTTGCGTTCATTGTCTTGTTCATGTTCCACTAGCTCATCTTGTCACCATTAGATGTTTTTTTACTAATAACTCATGTGCAAATACGATACTTGTAAGCAATTACCGCTCTGTGATATTGCACTGCGATCAATTGTTTTTTTTTCGATTTATTAAAAGTGAGACACAATTTATTCAACGATTTATAAAGCCCAAAATGATACTTGGAACTTTTTGTCTTTAACTTTTTCACAAAATTTCACTCTCTGAATTTCGATTGAAGAAGCACACATTTTTTTATATGAACTCATCAAAAATATGATTCTAATTAACAAACTTGGTCAAAGCTCTATCGTTTTTCGACATTGATAACATAAACTGATGATTATTCAGTCAAGTCTGTTTACATTTTAAGTAATGTATTTATAATGTAATACTTTTAAGAAAAAATACTTTAGAAATATACATAAATCATTTTTTGTAACAAAACTTCATTGCCATGTTAAAATTAAATTTTTTTTTTAAATCAATTATGATTAGATTAAAGTTATTAATAGTTATATTTGGTACTTACAACTCTTAATTTATTTGAATTACTGCATTAATAAGCCGTGTGTATGTTTGTGTATGAAAGTATGTTTGTGTTCATGTATGTACGGGTGTGGGCGTTTACAAATATAATTTTTGAATAAAATTTAAATTTAAAAAAATGATAAATTATTCTCTATATATACTCGCAAATTTTCAGTACTTGATAATCAAAAAATTTATCCAAATTATAATCATGAATCGATTATGAAATTGATATATTATTTTCTATTAATTCTATATTCATTAAAATTTGGGAGTAAATATAAGCTGTAGGTCAAAGTTTCTCTATGTTAATCTTTGTTTTTAGCGATTAAAAAACTTTTAATATGATTTAAGCAACAATTTTTTGAAATAATATTATTATGTATTAAAAAGATATTGATATACATAAGAACATTTTCATATAAAAAATGATATAATTTGGAATTGCATTGCTCTTAATTACTAGACATAATATAAAATTGTATTCGATCTATTTTATTTACAGTGTATATCTACTACATTATGAAAATACAATTACTACATTTTCTAAAAATACCAGTTTTGCGTGAGTAAAAGCTTATTAGGTAATACTTCTTGTACTCATATTATTTCTTAAAATGTATTTGTCTTTTAAGATTAATAAAATAAATTTTTATTTCGCATAAAAGCCACCTAAATATCATTCAATGAATGCACTAAAATAAAAGAGCGCAGAACTTAAATCTTGACTTTCTGTTATTCATTTTAGTGTAGGTGTAAATTTTACATTTATAATGTTTTTGAATTTTAGAGTTAATTAAACTATCTTCATTATCGTCATAATTAGTTCATCTTTGAAATTACGATTCAGGCACAAATCTGTGTAAAGCACTGGTCAAAATGAGTAATGAGCTTTGAAGTCCTTGTGGTAAGTGTCTTTGTAACCATGCTCCTTTATATTGTTCGATATGAGCTAACATTTTATTAGCTATATCAGTTCTAGAAGTTGGAGGTAAATTACTTACACCTAAATTTATTACGGGTAACCCCATGTTACTGTTGGGATTTGTACCCACACTTATAAGGGCTCTTCCAATTTTACAAGCTGTCAACATTAGGTCAGCGGTTAATTGTAATTCTTGAATTTCCATAGAGCCGAATTTAGCTGTTGGATTGGTTTCATATAATGCCTGAGACACTTTTTTTATATGCTTCATTGCTTTCTAAAAATATATAGTTGACACAAGGTTTAGTAAAATTATATTTTTTAATTATATCTTTCTAATATTAAAATTACCGCGAATAAGTCCATTGGAAGATGTTCTAAATTAACATTATCCGGATCAGTGAGTAATCTATAGAGCGTTGAACCACGGTTGTCTGGTATTTGATTGAGATTATTAATATCTTGATTTTTACTCCATGTTAAAACCAAAGTATCTATTCTTCCAAGTTCTAGAATGGCACTACCTATTTTGAACTCTGGATCGCTAAATATATATGTATCCAAAAGTCTAGCTATTGGTCTAAAAAGTTTATTATACAACATTAATATAATTCAACATAATTTTTTTATATATATTACTTTTTTTTATGAATCTTACTTTTTGTTATTTAGTTTAGACGATTCTCGAAAATCACAAAAATCAATCAACGGCTCTATATCGATATCTGTTTTTGGATTCCATGACAAACCAGCTGCAATGAGGTATCCAACCCAAGCAAATGTATGAGACGTTAAATGATGGCTACCCGACCAATGAGCAACGACTATTCCAATAGAATCTTGTTCTTGAGCAGTTTTTACTGCATTTTTTGTATTGGACAAAGTGGATGCTGGACAGCCGGCTAAACTATTATAACTTGCTGTTCCTGAGCTAGGTAGCGTATTGCCACCAGCACATCTAAACGGTTCAGTCCAGGCAGAAAATTCGTAATCAGCCTGCCAAATTAAAATGGTTGTTTATAAACATAAAATTATGAATTTGTAGAATTTTAATAGTTACCTGAAAACCATATTCAACAAAAATAACATTATTAGGAATACTACGAAATTCAGTTTTAGAATGTAATCCATTGGAACAAATTAATACTGTGGTGGCATGATTCAAATTGAAAATATGCCATAGTTGTTGAAGACCAGAGTAAGACTCAAGTACATCAGACATATCAGTCTCAATAGTTTCATCAACTGATACAGAACAGTCAAGATTACTTGGATGTACTAATAAGTTCGCTAATCTAGGGCCTATGTGAACATAATTTAAACTTGGAAAAGTGGCTAGTAACTCTTGAAAAAGTGGCCACATTTGCGATAAATGCCGTACACTAACGTTTGAGTCAACATCAAGAGCGGGTATCAATTCCAAGTGTCGATCTCTAAATATTAAAAAAAAATTTTTAATATTTGTATAATATTTAAGGATAATAAAATTTAATTACCTGCAATATCTGTCCAAAGTAACCATTTCTGATCTTGAATAACAAAGTTGCCAATCACAACTTGGGGTAAGTCTAGAATAAAGATGCAAGTATGACAATTTAAATGAAGACCAAACATCAATAGCATGTAACAAGTAATCTAGAGCTGGTGCTCGACCTCTAAGAGAAATATCTAAGAGTATGCCTCTATGTCTGAATCTAGGTTCATCTTTAATTAATACTGCTTTGATTTCGCATAATTCATTGTTTTCATTATTATTATTATTACTTTGTTTGTTTAGTTTTAATATTTGAATAAAAGTACATATAGCATAATGAAGACCAGCTAAACTGCCAGCACTTATTTTAATTGAATTTTGAGATATATGCAATTGATAACCCTCTGTATTATTAAACAATTTAGAATTAACAATGCACTCTATTCTCTTATCACAAGACAGTCTACCAGATCCTGGTTGTACTTCACCAATTTTGACATCACATCCTAACTCGAGTAAGTGTGTCCGACTAATTTCCCACACATCTAAAATTGCATGAATTGATTCACTACCCTGTAGATTAAAAATGAAGTTAGACTATTCATCAACTTTCCACAAACGTTTGCATTTACTTTACCTGTATTATAGATATTAAAAGTTCTTTTCCAAAAATAAATGGTGGAGAAAGATGACCAAGTTCTGTAATATATTTTGGTTTAGGCCAAATCAGTTCGTAAACACCTGACTGTGAAGCAGGTGGAAAAGCTCTAAATGAACTATCCCCATTGAATTCTCTTGAATCTTTATGACTCTGTGTAGGCATATTAAAAGTATTATCTAAAGATTTCAAAGAATCGACTGATGAATCCTGATGTATATCAATCAAATTAGGCTTAGGTAAAAAATCAAAACTTTTTACATCTTCTGAATATCTACGAAGATGTTCAATTTCTTTTGAAGAAACTTCTGTAAAATACTTTTCAATTAAAGCTTGTAATGATGCATTACTTTTAGAAATATCATAGGCTGTTTTGGCTGCAAATGTCCTATTGAGAATTTATTTTGAGAATAAATCAAATATTTAATAATATAAAGATAATTTCAATAAAAAAAGTCATTGCTAGTTTACCCTTTTATCGCTCTGACTAATGGATCAGCGCCAGATATTAATAAAATTTGGCACATTTCAAAATCTCCTCTATTAACAGCTTCATGTAATGGAGTGGCACCACAATCATTTACTGCATTGACATTTGAACCATTTTCTAAAATGTATAAAACACCAGTTTTTTTAAAAATTATTTCATAAGTTATTTATAGAATTTCAAATCAAATTAAATACCTGTTAAAAACTGAACAACGCTCTTATTACCAAAACAAGCAGCCCAATGTAAAGGTGTATTTTTACTAGTTTCTGAATCCCAAGCATTGATATCTACTCCAGAGGATAATATTTGTTGAACTCTTTCAATTCTATAAAAATAATTTTGTTAAATATTTATTTTTAGAATCTTTTTTAAATAATATTAATTAACATCTCACTCTGAAGCTGCAGTAGCTCTTAATAATTCTTCAATATATATTTGCCTGATTTTATCATTCACAGCTAAATCAAGAGCATTTCTTCCATGATTGTCAACAGCGGCTGGATCTGCTCCACAATTCAGTAAAGTTCTAACTAAATCAACTTGATCATGCTGTAAAAAATACGCACGATTGAGCACTTTAATAAAAGATTAATTATTCACAATAATAAAAACCAAGCTTACCAAAGATGCATATAGTAAAGGGGGACCTTCTTCAAAAATATGTCCATTTAATATTTGTTGTTTAGTTATACCACTTCCATTACCATTTTCATCGCCTAGAAATTGAAATTGTTACCATAATTTGGTGAAAGAAGATATAAACATTTTTTATGAGTGTTGCATATTGCAATTGATTGTAGGTTATAGTAATTAAAATCGAAAAATATTATCTTTTAATCGGGAACGGAAAACAAATTATCATTAAAATTGTAGCAACATTAAAAATATCGATATTATCAAGCGGTCTTTAAAAAATTTGGATTTAATTAGGTGAAGTTTCATTTAATAGTACTTGAAATAGTTATAGGAAACCGGTGAAATAACACTTACAAGCATCCAGAATCGATCGGACTATGTCCGTTCGTCCATGTTCGATTGCTCTGCGCAAATTTTCACATACATCTTGCATTGTAAAGCTCTTTCACTCCTCGAAGAATTAACCCTTTGATTAATGCAATTAGAGATGCGTCAATTAATCAGCGTTCACGATCAGCTGTCATGCCCCCGGTATAAAAGACTATGCACCGCAACTCGTAAAAACAAGACCTTGACTGATCGAGCAGCCTCACTTTCAATTGGATATGATGTGTCAACTTTCACCATGCTCTTCTTATTCTCACTTGTATTACGTATACATTATGTATACACAGTTAATTGAAACGTTCAGTTCTAACTGCCGTATATACAATACAAGTGCATATCGAGAATTGATATTAGCGGCCGTACAGATTTGATATTCATTTGTACTTAATGCATTACATAGGTATTCAGATCAAATCATTGCGAAAGAAAACAACATGGCGCCAAATTAAATCATTTTCGAATTTCGATCCTTTTATGGGAGAGGTTAAATCATGTTTGTGTCTGTGATTTTATTTTACATATAATATGACAGGACACTATTTACTCTCAACATACTGTTGTCAGTGCTGGCCAAGATTATAACAGTAATTTAAAACATTTGACACCTGTGGATGCAAGCATGGGTTTATCTATTCTTTATCTATAGAGAAAAGCACTTTCAGTAATTAACATTAAAAATGTTCATAATAATGTATTACCAGTAGTGCAGTTTTTATACACTTGGAAAGTGTTTGAAACGAAATATTAATAGGAATGTAAAGAGTTCAGAATAACCATCATGCATAAACAAGTTTTATTGCTTCATATGTAAAGAGACATGCAAATTGGTTGTTTTCATCGCGATTCTATCAGATTTATTATCTGCATAAGCACAAAACAGATATTCTACTTTGACAACTGCAAATTTAATCGTCTTTTCACTTTTCTGTATGGAGCATGATTTATCTATGATTTACCAATTGAAATAATTCAATATGTCAATCAAGCGTATGCTTACACTACTCACAATTTTGTGCTGTTTAGTTCTTTTGATAATCATTTTGAGCAGCTTTGCAATTCATGATCAAGTTCAGCTCAACTTGCAAAATCCTGCCAGCAATATGTTGAATACACTCTCTTCAAATGATAGTGACTTGCAAAAGTTGCTGGATTTAAAAGAGTTCACATACATTATTAATACCCATTGTAAATATTCATTCCAAAATTATAAGACAATCAAAAGCTTTGACCATCGCTTCAAGTTTGTTTGGCTAATCACTTCTTATGCTGGCGATAATACCAAACGAAATGCTTTAAGGGCAGCTTATAATGCAAAGCAACTTACTCAGCTTGGTATTAGAAGAATTTTTTTACTAGGATCTTTGAATAAAAGTGCTCAAAAGAAAACAGGAATTACACAAGCTATTATAAAAAAAGAAGCAGATAAGTTTCAAGATGTTATTCAAGGTAATTTTATCGAAGCCTACAAAAATTTAACTTATAAACATTTGATGGGACTTCAATGGGCTATTGATAAATGTAGCAATACTTACTCATATATTATGAAAATGGATGATGATATTGTTATCAACTTATATGAAGCAATGGAACTTTTAAAAAATAAATCATCAATTAATGATGGAAAAGATTTTTTAATGGGATATGTATTAGATCATATGACTCCTATTAGAGACAAAGAAAGCAAATGGTATGTTAGCAAAGATGAATATTCTTCAGAAACATATCCTTATTTTTTATCAGGATGGCTTTATTGGATTAGTATGGAAACTGCTTATAAAATACTCCATCAAAGTAGATTGCACTCTAAATATTTTTGGATCGATGATCTTTTTATCACAGGCATTTTAAGAAATAAGGCTGATATTCACAACATTGTTAATGTCAACGAGTTATTCACAACAGATTATAGATACTTAATTTGTTGTTTAAAAAATGATGATAGCAGTACAAAGTACAAATGTGATTACTTAGTGGGACCTGATGGAGGTGAACCTTATCTATTAATGACCTTCCAAAAATATAGTGAAGATTGTTACTATCGTTATAATTGTAAAACTCGCCCAATAGAACAATCATTAAATAATAAATGTATTTTGGATGCTGGAAATACAAATCTTGATATAGGAAGTGCTCATATTGAAGAAATACCAATTGATGCTATTTAAAAATATATCATTTATATTCCTTTACACATTTAAAAAAGACTCTGTACTTTTACAAAAATTTTCAAACAAAAACTTGAATTTTTTATAATAATAAAGCTTAAATGTATATTTACAATACATGAAACAAAATCTATTGAACAAAATTAACATTTTATCTTTTAAGCAACTTGAACGTTGCCCCAAGACTTAAATGATCACTTCCTACAACCCTGTTTGGTATTGTTGGAAGATATTTCAAACATTGGTTGACCGTTGGTAGTGTATATTTTTCTAGTGGTACTAAATCACTGTAGAAAATGTAATCAACAGTTATCCATCTGTCTTGAAATGTTGTAGCTTCATTCAAGCCATTATTTTTACTTTGATTTTGATGATTGTAGACACTCTTTAATTGAAAAGGATGAGTTAGAAGTCCAGATGAAAAGGTTGCATAGTGACCATTTGCTATTTCAATCTTCTGGTAAGTAGTTGAATTCAAGTTAACTAAACTTTGCTCTTGTACTCCAAGAGGTGCATCATTACTATATGCATTTCTAGGATTTTCTGTATTTTTTAACTAGTGATTAAGACAGAAAATAAAAATAAAAACATTTATATTAATACTCCTTTTCTTTCATTATTTTATATTTATACTTATGTGTTGAAAAACTCACCATAACTCTGCCACTTCCTTTACCAGATAGTCTTTGTGAGACAACTTTGAAATGCTGACACTCGTCAGTAACATATAAATGTGGTGGTATCAAAGAATTTGTTAAACTCCAATTTGATGGACACATTTCATTGCACTCTTCCAAATTTCTATTTTTACCAGCAAATTCTATGGATCCCTCAGTAATGAATTTATAGACTCCAGTAAATGGTTCTAAATTAAAATCTCCAGAAAGTAACATTGGAAGGTATTGTGGTCCAGAACTAATTGAACAATAAATTTATTAATTTGTTTTAGAAATGTTGAATAGAAAATTTAATAGTACTTTATAATAAGTTTCAAATACTTACGGCAAATTCTGTACAAATGCAATTCTTTCTATTTCAGCAAATAAAAGTTGTACTTGTCCCAGTCTCACATCATTACGACGAGGATTATATAACAAATGTGTTGTTGCTATAACAAACTTTGTATCAGGACTTTCTTTTAGCGAGAATTTAGCTATTAAGCCAACATTATCCCTGCTCAAAAGTTCTATGTTTTTTTGATATAATTCAACTTTTGAATAGTCTAGTAAATTAAATAGATCTTGTTTGTACATTAAAAGTAAGCCATCTTTTTTGTCATTTGTGCGCTTTTTATATAAATGTGTAAAACCATTTTGTTGGAATGGAATCAAAAATTCTTGTAAGTGCTCTTCTTGCATTTCTTGAAGGCAAACAATCTATAAAAATTAAATTCAATTTAAGCATATTATATCAACTTCAAAATACTGACTTTTTTTGAAAATTCATTACATGTGCTTCAGAGTCCAAAATTTCTTGTATCAAAAGTGGCTTTCTTACTGTCCAAGGTAAAGTTCTGGGGTCATGATATTTATACAAATATCTATGAGTTTCTAATAAATCTTGAGCTAATATATTAAATGAAAGTATTTTAAACACAAATTCTTTTTCAGTGTCCACATTAGTTTTATCTGTAATACATTTATTTTCAGAATGTTTGTTTAAAAATATATCATTGAAACTTTAATATAATGTAATAAAAATTAGTAAGATATATCACCTCCACCAATTTTCCTCCACTTTCTCATTTTTGTGTATCTTTCTTTGTCTGATAAATCTTTAAATTCAATTTCTGACTGCTGACTATGGTGTTGATCAACTTCAACTTTATTTACATTTTCATTGCAATTATCACTGATTCGCATTTTTTGAAGGTCTGTTGCTATATCTACTTTATCTGTCATAGCACTCGAATCAGGTACACCTATTTTCCAAGCAAATTCATCTATATTGGAATATTTTGCACAAGTTGTAGAAGAAGGATTAGCTGCGAGTGAGCCAGCTTTAGCAATAATCTATAAATCAAAAAATACAATTTTACAGTGTTTTGATGACATTTGTGAAAGTATAAAAAATTTATAATGCAAAGAAACAATTAAATCTCTAAATGACAAAATAAATAAATGTAGCCTACATTAAGTTGGCGATGGTGTGTTGCCAGTGTATAAACCTTCAGACAAGAAGAAATTGTGGCTAGATAGGCAGGTGCCAAAAACTTGATGGTTCGATTCATTTAAATTTTAGGTGTAATCAATGCTTAGACGTTGAAAAAAAGATAAAGAAAATTTATGAAAAAGAGTTGATTCACAGAACTAAATGCATGAGAAATGGAGCATTAAAGAAAAAAAAATGAGCTGAACCATAGGTTTTGAGCTATTGTTAATTTTTTTAACGACAAATTGACTTAATTCAATTAACTCACGGTTATGAAAAAATATAGAGCGATGAGTACAAGGTCAAATGTTTGATTAAACATTATAAGTGCAGCCTCGGAAAATTATTTGAGGCTAGCTGGATATAGTTGACAAAAATTAATATGTATGAGCTGAGAAAGAGTAATAAAATGAAATATAAAACGAAAGTATGTTTTTCACTTTAGTCACGCACAAAATTAATTCATTGGACATTAATTACACATCAGTCAAGCAAAATAATTTAATTCCGAAACGTTAACACACTTGAACCAGGCTAACAGGAAAGTGGCATTGCCAGCTAATGCATAGAGCATCATCACAACTGACGTTACGTTTCATAAAAGTATCTGTCACTGTTTTTTTAGTCAATATATACCAGATGCCAGATGGGCGATCATCATGATATTGAAAAAAAAAAACAGTTGATTGAGAAAAAAGTAACAATTGTTATAATTGTAGTGACAATTATAATGCAGTTTCTTGGGTGCAGTGGGCGATTGAGTTCGTGTTGGGCAATTCATAGATCTCACCTTTGAGTGACGATTATAAGAGCGCAAGTCAGAGTTTGTTCCTTCTTTTTGTTGCCTCTTATATCTTGACTCACGACTGACTTTCGGTTCAAGCTCTTGAAGGTATATTGTCGTTGTGATGTGATCGCTTTTATAAACCAATGGCAAGTGAGAAACAGTGCTGCCATCGCACTAAAAATAAGTGAATCGTGATTTGTGACATGACGAAGGCTCACGAGTCACGGGTCAGTAGTACCTATTTCATTTCCCCTCAACTTATATTATAAAAAACTTTCTCATTTGACTATACGTGATGATTTTGTTGAATTGTAGACAAACAAAAAAAAGAGAATAATTTGTAATATATAATCATATATATCTGCATGTTTCCAATCAACTCATTTGTTTTCACTAAAGAAATCCAAGTCTGTCCAAATGAAATCTCATGTAGCATCGAACTCATTTATGCATAAAAAAAGAAACCTAGAATGATGCACTCGAGATTTATATAAATTTTTGACATTTCTTCATGGGAACATCTGTACTTTACATAAGAATGAGCTCTATTAGATCAGTGCAGCAAGGAAGCTTTTTCAAGGAATATGCCAGTTTCCGACTACCCCCTAATTTTCAGCGACCCAACGATATTAATTAAATAAGTAGTAATAAATATGTATTTTTGGCGCGAAATTCGTAGCTTCAGTTTTTGATCACCTGCAATAATCTTTGATTAATTTAATTCAAAAATTTTTATCCAATTTAGAGATCAAAAATAAGTTCCTTATGCATTTTTAGACCCGTATTTTCATTTATCATGGTTTCAAAACTCAGGTTCATTGGCGGCTCAATACGGTGGTCGACAAGTAGACGATTCGCATCTTTTGACTTTAATAATTTTTTTAAAGTATCGCTAGCTTTTTTTATATCAAAAAGTATTTTTAGAAAAATGTTCAAACATCATGCATGAGCTTTGTAAATGAGAAAAGAAAGATTTTCTTCTGGTCAAAGACGAACTAAATTTAGAATTATCATTATGCTCGGAATGTCTTGCTCGTCTAGTGAAGAAATTATTTTGACGTCTAACTGCTGATGAAATATTCAAATCCTCTCATCTCTTGTTCACATTTTTTGCAAATCATTTGAATAAAAGGTATTTTGAATTTAAAAGACATATTTGATTTTCAGTCAATTCAGAGCCGATATTTTGGTCTGATTTTATCGAAACCATTAGATAAAAAATGAACGTTGAAAAGACATTTATTATTCCAAGACATTGCAATACTGCACTGAATTGATAAATGTTACTTGGATTTAGGTATAATACTCAGTGAATGATTAATGATTTTCAATTCGATTCATTGAACATTTTTAAAAAAATTACGAATTTCGTCTTTACAGATTTAAAGGTATAATATCTATTGAACGATGAATGTTTTTTTTAAGTTAGTGTATTGTTTTCTCCAATTTTAATAAGCATACTTACATAAATAGTATCTATAAAAGCTACAACAGACTTTTTACAAAAATGTCCTACATGATTTTTAACAATTGGTAATATGATTACTAAAGACATGAGAACACTTAAAGTTAATAACGGTTACAAGACACAATCGACTTTTAATTTCGAATTGTTGACGTGTAATAATAAAAAAAAATTTACAAGTTTGAAATATCTTTACGGTAATAACTAGTATAAAAAATTAACTTCAAAATTTTAACAATTATTTTATTACATAATAACAATACGTAAAAAGGTTTATTATTATAACCCAAATCGTCAATTTTTGTTAGACAATAATGATTAAAATGATGCCCATGCCAGGGTGTGAATAGATTTTGTAAAATATAGTTTAGAGAACTTCACGAAATATTTTTTTAAACAGCTTCGTTGTTAACTTTATTATATTTTATTCAAGGTACTTATGAAGCTCTTTAAATAATTATTTGGTAAAAATAGAAAAAGGATTAATTCGCTAAACATCGATAGCAAGTGCATGTATTGCCAGGACATAATAACATAATTTTTGCCTTTACTATTATAGACGAATGGGCAAAATTTTATAGAAGTTAAATGGCAAAATTTTTGATTGTAGCAATGACAAAAAGTGGGCTTATACCAAATTGGCTTTTTAGAAATTAACGTAAATAAACGTTTTTGGTTCGGTATCAAACTTTTCTATTGAACGATGATTTTTGGGTACATACAATTAGTACACTTTAAATCATCGTTATCTTATAAGTGTAAAGAAATTTATTAAGTATTGAAAGCAATTATAACGTTGCAAAATAAATACCTTTGATAATACTATATATACTACGAGGAATTTTATTTATAAAGGTGTCTATTTGATGACCAAAATAACCCATTACCGAAATGCTGGGTATTACATTTATGTAATACCCAGATAAATTACATATACATTAGATAACATACGCGAATTTATGATATCTTGGGTTATTTTGCCTACAGGATATACCGCGCTCTGTCTATCTATATTGTTCAGAGTTAAATAGCTATATATCGAAGGCATCATCGTTTGTATCAATTTAATTTAATTTAACCAATAAATTTATGAAAAATTTCAATTTTGGTATCAAAGAAGAAAAATGTAGAATGTTATTTTCAACGTTTTTCTATTTTTAAGTAAACAAAATGTAGGAAGCTACGGCGAGCCTTCTTCTAAACTACAATCCAAATTTTCAATGGATCTATCATTTTCACGATCAGGATTAACAGCTTCATTAGAAGCTTCTGATAATGATGGTTGAGGTACTTGATGATTAACAGTCAAATCTTCTGTGTCTCGAATCGCTTCCTTAGTTTTTTGGGAACCCGGTGATTTAACTTCACTTATTTGTGCAGGACACTCAAAATGCACACAGTGAAAAACCTAAAATAAATTATATTTATTTTAAATATGTATATTATAACATAGGTAAAAAACCAAAAATAAATAAAATTTAGTGTTGATTGATTTAAATTGAGTGGAATTTTTTATATGGATACTCTTCGAAAAAAATTCTTACCTCATTAGCAGTATTATGAGTTCCAACTATTCGAATGAAAACTACCGGTCGAGGACTAAACCTTAAAGTTTGCCAAGATTGACGTAATTCTTTTGAATTATCCACAATGGTTTCCCAAGTTTTAGAGTTACCAGAAACTTGAATATAATAACAATAAGACCTATTGTCTAAGTCCCATAGAAGTAATCTAGATTGAATAAGAGAACGAGCCATTAATATTTGATTCATTGCAAAGAAATAAATAAGTAAAGTACCTCATTGAATCTATCATGTAAGGTTGACCCAGTTGAACTTGAATACAACCAGAATTTAGTTGGTGACAAGTATAACCACGGTCCCAGTCATAAGTTTGAAAGTCACCATTCAATAATGTATTACGGGATCTATAAAGAATGATAAATTAAAATAATTTTATTCAAATCTTATTCTAGTGACATGACATTCTAATTTTATTGATTTATGATCGTTTTTTTTATTTTCATTTTTACTATGTTTGAAAAAAAATGATTATGTACAAAAATATATGAAAAAAATACCTGCTGACACCCTCAGTTACACAAGCGCTACGCTCAATGGTAGCGATATTATTTGTTGGTGCAATGAACCCATTGACTAATTTTTCATTGTGATGGATATAGTATGCTTCAAAATTAACAAGATGAAAAACCTATCATAAAATTTGAATCAGAAATTATATAATCATTTTTGTAATAGAAAAACTGGTTGATACTACCTTATTCACAGTATTGTTCGTACCAACAATACGAATGTATAAAACAACTTGTGGCTTGAAATATAGATATTGCCAACTTCTACAAAAATATTGGGAGTGATCAATAACTTTCACCCAATCTTTTTCATCCATTGAAACCTAAGTAATTACATTTGGTGTTAATTCAAATATTTTGAAATAGTTGTAAAAGAATTATTTTTATAAATACTTCAATGTAGTATGAATATGATCTTTCATCACGGTCCCACAACAACATTTTCATATGATTGATTATGCATTGATTTCCTAGTTTAATGAGTATACAATTTTCCAAATTATCTGTAATGGTGTGTCTTGTATATCTATTACATAAAAAGTAATTGTTTATAGCATTATCTATATTCCATAAAAATGTACACACTAATGTAAAGTAAATTACCCTTTTTCAATATCATAATTTTCTATATCCCCGTTTAATAAATAACTACGCATTTCTCCTTGCAAAACCTGTGCTCCATAACGAGGATGTACTACATTTTCATCTAATAACAAAAATCCTCTATGCCGCAGGTGGAGATTTCGTGTTTGTGTATTAATAGCAATTGCATCTAAGATTGCATCAGGGGATATTAAGCCAGTTGGTCTGACTACAGATAGTAAGTCAGATATAGATATTAAACTTAATCTTACTTGACCTAAAAAAATTATTCAAAGTTATAACTCGGTTTAATTATTAACAATTTTTTCTTATTATATTGTAACTACTTACTTAAAATATCATCAGCCTTTACATGAGGATTAGCTTTCACCCAAGAATGTACAGACAAAAATATATTTATTTCAGAGGCATAAAAAGAATCTCTAGTCAATAGATCTTTTAGTGCACTTGAACTTAGTTGCAAAAAGCTTTCGTGTTCCATAATCTCCATTGCATGTTTATCCATAAATTCATAACAAAACTGAAAAATAATTCAATTTGTCAAAAATAAAAGTTATTTCTCATTAATGAACATCATTTTTGTAAAATACCTTGATCAAAAATTCTAGATTATACAAACGAGCAGCATCAAATATTGTACAAACATTTTTTGTGTTAAGAATTTCTTTCAAGTAATCTGAAATTGCTGCTTCTAATTCTATAAAATTGTATTGATGAGCTAATCCCAAAATATCTAAAATAACCTGAAAGAAAATAATTAGCAATGTACTTTAACTTATTATTTTTACTAAATAAAAAACAATACCTCTTCTTGATGATTTGACAATGACATATGACCAGTATAGATATACTTAAAGAGACCTTTAAATGCAGGAAGTGTAGTTTCTTTTAAAATTATTTCACTTTGAGTAGTTTCTCTCAAGCCACCATAAAGTAATGCTCTAAAATATTGACTTCTAGCAGCAAGAATTACTTTATGACCATTAAATCTTTGACCATTGACAATAAGGGTAACATCTGAATAATCATCTGATAAGTATAATGCACCAATATCTTCTGATAAAAAATTTGTATGTTCAATTTCTCCTGATGATGACTTGAGATAATGTTGAGAGCTCATTTTTCATTAGATCTATAAAATAAAATACATAGAGAGTTATTTTATTTTCATCTTTACACGTTCAAAATATAAAATGTAAAATTTTTAATGCAATAGATACAAGGGTAATATTTATGATTCTGCTATGTATTAAGGAAAAAAGCTATTTTTTATATTGTTTCTATTATCAAGACACAAAGTACAGCTTCAAAATATAACTGTAGATTGGGAGTGAATTTTCAATAAAAAATGTGAAAACAAGTATAAGAATTAACTTACTTTTTTAATTTATAAAAGTTGATAAGATTCATGCATGTTCAAGGCTAAAATTTGTCGATCTGTGTTATAATTTTATTATATGCGTAATCTAATACGTCATAGGCACAAATAGCTATCTGTCATTGATTGTTTATGTTCACCATTACTAACCTATAATCGTAGTATTATGACAGATGAAAAAAGTGTAAACACCGAGTACAAATTCAATCAATGAACAGACAATTAATGAGTTCTCACTATCTATAGAACTTTGAGTATTATTTATCTTTCGACTTCCACTACTCTACATAGTTAACGTAGGTATACTTATTATACATAATGCGGGCATCAACTACGAACTATTACTTATGTGATACTTATATCTATGTATGTATATAAATATACATATAGGTGTAAACATTCTACATCAAGAGGCGCATGCAGCTCTCCTTGGATGTGAATTGACAGACTATCATTACATCTTAGAACCACCAGGTAGCAGCATCAGTACTGTAGATTTAGTTCAAAAGTATTATACGTGGCTATGTACAAATTTCTTTGTGTTGCCAATAAAACTATATTCAAGTTCAAGTTCAAAAGTAGCTTTGGAAACCATTGGAGGATGGTCCAAGCCCCAAGAGGTTTTCATTGTCGATTATTTGCACTAAAAAACTAAAGAACAATGCTCGGGTATTTTCACTTAAAAAACAATGACAACTGATTAAACGATTAAGGGATAACACCACTCTAATATTTTCAAAATACAGTGTAATAATTATTATTTTTTTTTATAAAAAGCTTCCTGTGGATGACTAGAATGATGCCAAATTGGTATTAAAGAGTAAGATAATTTTAAGATGTTTTTTATTTTTAATTTTCCCACACCACTTTAAGGAGGCTCTACACCAATCATAACAATAGTATAGCGAGGCATCTGCCTGTTTCTTTCTCGCCTTAGGCGGACAACCGCTCGAACTATTCGAAATCAATGATTTTACGCACATTTTGTTTAATTACTCATTAGTTAGTTCGTTAAGGGGTAATTTTTAACATACCAATAGAAAGCTTGGAACTTTCTCTTTCAGAAAATATATTTTTTATTAAGATGGTTGATCTTTTAAATCTATATATATAAAGCGAAGTTGGTGTCTGTTTGTCCTTTATGATCTCAAAAACTATTTGTCCAATCGGCTTGAAATTTTTACCACGTATACATTATACCACTGCGCAGGTTTCTATCATATTAAAACCGTTATTTGCTTATTTATTTTTGAGTTCAGAATTTTTTTCGTATTTTACCACTTCGCGCTCTCGCTCGCTCCTGTCTCGGTTAATGGTTATAAAAAAGACCGAAAACAGTTTTTTTTTACACGCGGTGAATCGGAATACATTGTATTTGATGTGTACATGTGTTATTACGCTATTCGAGTTTTACAAGTGTGTGGACTCAACTTATACATTTCCTACTACGCACTTGACGTGGCCTGCTTAAGATCTTTTAAACAGTCGAATTTGTTGAAAAAATTGAACGTGGGCGAAGCCACGACGGGGTCGCTAGTTATTTATAAACAAAAAAAGACCGCGGCCCATAAGAGCCCGTGTTAAAATCACCATTTCCAAATTTGTTTATCTCGAAAGTTTGATCGTTAACCACATGTTTTTTTTTTGAAATCTCATTTTGAAGATCTAATAAATCGATTGATCTAAGTTTTATTTTGTTGGATGATCTTTTGTATTGTGTGTAGAGCCTCCTTAAACGATCGCCAAATGGGCAAAAAAAACTTTTAAGGTGTTTTTCTCGAAACAACATTTTTCGAGACTATAACAGAAAATAATCTTCAGAAAGTACAGAATGGATTGAGCTGAAGTTGTGATTGAAGGTTAATAAGGGAAGCACTCATCTGTATTTGATTGGTTTATTACGTAAATTTTTATGAATAATTTACGGTGAAATTTTTCAACTAAAAAAAAATCGATTTTTTTTTGGAAAGCTGTCATTTTCACAATTTTCATTTTAGGCTAAACTCCAACGTACTTTCCTAGAAAAAGCATTCAACTTTGGGATATTTTTATTTTTATTCTAGGTGCCATAGGATCCGAAAAAAGTTACCAGTAGTGAAAAAGAAGCTTTTTTTTGTAAATGAACTATATCTTCTCCAATTTCTTCTTCTTTTTTTCAAGACATGTATTATTGGTCATCAAAATCTCATTAAAATATAATTTGTGACCATCACAAAAAATTCGCGAATTTTATATTTTTTCAAAAATCTTAAAGTGGTGGTATCCTTTGTTCAAAAATCCTTGACTTTAATCTGCAATGACATATGATTTCGATGAAAAATTACCTCAGCTTTCCGATAGAAGGGTCAGATTTTTTCCATTTTCACTGAAAATTCGCCGGGAAAAATTAAAAGTTAAATATCTCAAAAAGTAACTTTTTAAGATTTTTTTAAATAGTTTAGATCAAATGAAGCGGAATGCGAACGAACGCGCGAACACGCCAAAACTATAAGAGCATTCGACGTGAGACAATGTAGGGTAAAAATTAATAGGGATTCTCCACACAAAAAAAAATTAGAAAAAAACTGTAATCAAACCGAAATTATTAGAAAGTAAACTATTAATTAAAATGTTCGAACTCGTGGCAGAAAAAATTGTTTTAACTTCCACGTAGCTAGGAGATAGGGTATATAATTACCTAGAATTATACTTAAATAAAGATAATATAAAGTGTAATAATGACGAAAAATGAATACATTGTTAAATTTATTTTTATTCACCAACATTTTTACATAAATACTTCTATATTTTTATAACATCCAACAAAATTTTTCTGTTATCAACTAAATTTTATTACTTTCATTCGTATACATACTAAGATTATTTTCGTTTATTTTTACGAACGCTTTTAATGATATTACGAGCATTCCCTAATTCATGATATGAATATGATATTCTTGGCGTTTACTAAAAATATTCAAATATTCCATTAATTTAAAATATTCTTTAAGGAAGAAAATAATTTTTGTCTTGAGTGAATATTTATTCGGATAACATAATTTATATAGGCACGAAATAAACCAGAGAAGTTTCATTTTAAACTCTGATAATTTGTACCTATTCCACTCAAAATAATATAATAAGCTTGAATTTACCAATAACGTTAAAATTATCGACAGTTATGAATTTTTTATAAATTTAATCACTTCCTACCTTTTTTAATCAAAGCTCTATAAATTAGTTGGAAATATATGCATAGTTAAATTATCTTTTTTTGCAATGAAGTTATTGAAACTATATTTTTCTCTAAATTGATCAAATAAGAATTTTTCTAAATTTTGCAATAAATAAAGATAATTCGATTTTATTTAGCTTATGACAATATGCTTCTAATCACAAAATAGCTTCAAGTAACATTTATTAAATTTTATTTGGCCATATTCATTGTGATGAACTGGCGTAGGTCAGGTACTTTAATTTTCACATGAGTTTATTGAAAATATTTAAAAGAACTATGATTTTGTACTTTTCTTATATTCACTTACTTTTTGTGATATGTGTAATGTTATGCTTACGGCATGCCCACGTAACAATATTAAAAATAAATATTAGTGATGTTTCAAATTTTTCCATTCTTTTAGTAACATTCATAGAAATTCGATTTCTTTATAACAGTGACATAGTCGAGGATAGTATTTTCACACAAAGCCAAATTACTTTCACTTCCCATTAGCTGTTATATTATGTTATTAATTTTTAGGTATGTATTCGGCGTCCAAATTAATCCATGTTATTATTGTTTGCATGAACACGAAAATAATTAATCGATAGATATATTTGAGTTTTTTTGCCGCCAAATCGGCATTCTTTTTGTTGATATTGCTGGGTAATCCATTATAAAATTACGGCATGCATCGTGATCGTTGCCACGCATAATTTGCAAATTTTTTTCATTATGCGAACACGCCATTTTAGTTAGACATGTGCTCAAAATATCTAATCAAATTAAAATGGGTCGTATAGTTTTCGATGTTATTTTGTAACACGTAAGTAACGTAGCTTAAATATATCAATTGCAGAGAGCCTATTATACTGTACATTTAATAGGACCATTTTAATAGGACTTATATTTTTTGTCGATTATATTATTATAATATCAACTAATTATTTTTCCTATTATTTATACTATTCAAAAATTAATACTTTCAAGTTAGTCACTTTCTATTCATATACTTTCAATAGCGCCAGTTAATTACAACTTTTATGACATATTGTACTTTTAGTTTTAGCGTAGTATTTCATAATTATCAATCAAGTTTACTTATCAGTTGATCCATAGACTTTGCGTACATGTTTAATTCAAAACTATATCAATCGTCATAACTTACCATTAATTATGGCTTTCTAGAGATAAAATATTTGTTCTGCAACATTAAAGCTCAACTTTAACTCTATCTTCTTGTAATCACATTTATATATGTTTATATATCTATGATGCATATTATTTAACAATCAACGTTTACCAGCACGTATCTTTTCAAATAAAAAAGTGAGAATAAGAAGTTGAGAAAAAACCTTCACTGAAACGATTTATTTTTACCGACTTTTCTGATAGATTTTTATAAAAGATTTCAGTATTATTTTTTCCTTGGTTCTTGCCGTGAATAGCATTTTTTACTAGTTTAATTTCAAAAAATTGACTTTTGTTGAGTATTACGCGCGATAATAGTTATTTTAAGACTCTTGAACTTTTAAGATTGCAAAAAATAACAAAATCATAATCAAAAGAGTAATTTAAACAATTGTTAGTATCTGCTAAGAGCTTAAAGGGCCTTGAAATGAATTGTTTACTACTTTTTTACTAGGATTTTTTCTCACCTCTTTCATGCACTTCTTTTAATTCACACATTCCAAATACTCATTGAATTTTGTTGTTTGTTACATATTTTCCTATAATTTGAGAGGAAATGTTTTTTTCTTTTTTGTATTCAGACATTTCCTTGCGTGTCTTAAAATCGAATCACACTCCACTAAAAATCATACAAAGATGTCTTCCTTAAACTACGTATCTCAGTGAGTAATTGGAATGTTTTGAATACTTATGAGCTCTTGCAACTTAATTTCAACTAAAATTCATAAAATATTTTTACCACATATATTTAATAGAAGCACCTGGGCATTCTAAGATTTTATCTATTTACGATCATCAATTTATATTGATATTAGGGTATTCATTGGGCTATTTGCTTGGAATACTTTAACATTGAAGCCATGTCAATTAAGCTCTGGTTAAGAGTTTTGGCAAATTTTAAAGCGCTAGTTTTGTCATCGCTGTGGAAAGCCGAGC